TGAATTTTTGTCCAACAAGTAGGGTCTAAAATACTTGGTTGCCCATACTATTGCTAACAATTCTTTCTCTATCGTTGAATAATTGCATTCAGCGGGATTTAGTGTGCGACTTGCATACGCAATAGGAAGGTCGGAACCTATTGGTCCTTGTGATAGTACAGCGCCAATAGCATAGTTAGATGCGTCTGTAGTCAATAGGAAAGGTTTGGTAAAATCTGGATGTGGTAAAATAGGGTCATTCATGAGAAGATTTTTGCAAGTTTCAAAACTATGAATAAATTCAGAGTCGTGAACTATTTTCTCATCCTTTTTTAAACATAACGTCATAGGTTTGGTGATTTTGGCAAAGTTTTTGATGAATTTACGATAGTAGTAGCCAATCAATCCTAAGAATGATTTGATCTCTTTGGTGGTCTTGGGAATTGAAAATTTCTTGATGGCGTCAATTTTTTTCGGGTTTGGTTTAATTCCTTTGGGGGTTATGACATGACCTAAAAATTCGACTGTTTTCTTCAGAAATTCTGACTTGTCTAGTTGAATTTTCAGATTGAACTGCTCCAATCTTTGGAATATTCTTTTCAAATTTTTGATGTGTTCTTGGAGAGAAGTGGAGTAAACAATGATGTCACCCATATAGACTAGACAAATTTTGTTTTGTAGTCCGGATAAAACATTGTCCATCACTCTTTGAAAAGTGGCGGGGGCGTTTTTTAAGCCAAAGGGCATGCGAGTGTATTCGTAGTGCCCGTTTTCTACGTTGAAAGCAGTTTTAGGAATTGAACTCGGGTGCATTTCCACTTGGTGGATACCAGAAGCTTGATCCAAGGTTGTGAAATAGTTGCTTCTGCCAAGCTTGTCCAAAATGTCAAAGATATTTGGCAAAGGATACCTATCGTCAATGGTCTTTTCATTTAGTTTGCGATAGTCAATGACCATTCGCCATTTTTGTTTGCCTGAAGCATCTAATTTCTTGGGGACTATCCACACGGGGGATGACCAAGGGCTTGAGGACGGTCTGATAATATTTTCATTTATCATTTTCTTAATTTGTTCATTAACCTCTTGTTTATGAACGTAGGGGTAACGATAAGTTTTTACATGAACAGGGATCTCGTCTGTTGTCTTTATTTCGTGTTTTACTTGGTTGGTAAATGAGAGTTTTTCGTCTGGTTTATAAAATATTGTGGGGAAGGACATAACTAATTGCTGTAAAGCATTCAGTTCTTCTTTATTTAAGTGATCAGTTCGTAGAAGATTTAAGGGATTATTTACATAGTGGTTAGAATATTGAGGTAGCATTTGCAAAATTATCTTCTTCGTAAATATCACAATTATCTTCGAGTTGATCGATATGATAGTTCAAGGTAAGGGATTCGTCTGTACGGTTATGTACTTCTAATGGAATCGTGCCATTTTTGACTTTAACAATTGTTGGTAAGATAACGTGAGTTTCGGAATTTATGAATGGAGTAAGAATTTCTGTTCCCTCTGTTATATTAGTATTAAAGTAACAGATTTGCATTGTTCTGGCAGGGATTTCTAAAAGTTGGTTATCGAAATCGGATCGGAATTGAAATGGAATTGTAACTTCATTATTGGAAAGACACATATTAGAAAAATCGATGTTTAGATGATTTTCTTGTAAGGTTTTTATTCCAATGATTCCATCAAAATAATCGTGGAAGTTGTACATTATCAATTCGACATTTTCATCGATATTGAATTCTTGTAAGATGGGTACAATAACTTTTCCTTGCGTTTTTCTAGTTCCCATGCAAGTAGTAAGTTTATTATGTGAGTTTATTATGTTATTTGGGAAATACATTTCAGCAATGGAAGGTCTTATAAGAGAAGCATGACTTCCAGTATCAATTAGGAGTTTACAGGGTGGATTTTGTATTTCGATGAAGGGTAATTGATTGATTTGGTAACTGTTTAAAGTTAAAGCTGATTGTCTTGTTCCGAGGCTGTTTGTTGAAAATTTTCTTCCGAATAATTTTCTTGTTGGTCGTAATCAGGGTAATAGTCATTATTGGATTGTTCGTCTTGATTAACAGAATAATCAGTGTAGTCATTTTCTTCACTTTCAAAATATTGTTCAGGATTTTGTTCTGAACTTTGTTCAAGAATGTTATTGATTTCTTCGATCGTGTATCTGGGTGGACCAGCATTTGGGTTTGGTCTAAAATAGTTAGACGGACCTGCTTGATTTTGTTGTGGTCTATACACTTGGGACGTTTGTCTACGAGGTTGAATGGATACACCAGACATCGGTGTTGGTTTGGAAAATTGTTGATTGGGTTTGTTTTTAGCAAACACATTTTGTTGTTTGGAAAAGTTCTTTCCAAAAGTACCAGAGCTACTTGGAAATTTTTGTTGGTAGTTTGGTTTTGTCTGAATGTTAATGGGTTGAGATGGAAATTGAGGTTTGTTATTGAAAAATGTTTGTTGGTAATTGGGTTTATTAGTTTGATAAGAAGTCTGTGTATTTGGTTTGTATGAAAATTTTTGATTAGATTGATTATGAGTTTGGTGATGTGACTTGTTCATATTTGTGTTAAACTTCATATGATTTTCTGCCAAATGATAATTTAAAACAAATATAGTTGCTGCATCCAGTGTTTCTGGATTGCGAATCATTAATATGGTACGCAATTCTACTGGTGAATTTGTTATTAAATTCTGAACTGCAGTAATCTCATTTTGTGCGACTAGGACGTGTGAAACCGTCGCTAGATCTGGATCACTCATTATTTTTGATGTAATTCTATGCACAAGAAGTTTAAGTTTCTCAAGATAATCAAAAATATTTTCTTTTGAATTTTTGCTCGTGTACATTAACTCTTGAATAAGATTTTGTATGGAGTAAGGATCTCCGTATTTAATTCGTAAAGCATCTCTTATGTCTGGCCAAGTTTTCAAGTCTGGTCTGGACATAAGAAAATTGCCAGCATCGTCAATTAATTTTGACTTTATTGCTGTGACTACAAATTCTTTTTGGGCATTTTCACCTGTATAGTAAGTGTGGAAAAATTCATCAATATTATTTATAAAATATTCTAGATATGAGCTTTCGCCCTTAAATGGTTTGAGTAGCTGAACAATGGATTTTAAATTTTCACCCATGATTCTGTTTTGATTGATAATTTGTGGTAAAGTTTGCGCTTGAGCTAAATTAGAGGCTCCAGCAATACTCGTTGGGGGATTCATGTATAAAAATCAAAAATAAAAAATACCTATTTATTATTTTTTCAAAAATTATTTGTTATTTTTGGAACGTCAATTAAGTTTCCAAAAATGAAATGAAAATAAAATTCAAAAATAAAATCAAACTAAAATTCTAAAAAGTAAAAATTAAAATTCTTAATTTGAGTCAAAACTTCAAACTAAAGTAAAGTAAAACTCAAAATTCTCAAACTTAGAATTTTGGCTTGAAAACTCTAAAATAAAAAATCAAAATTCGAAGTAAAACTTCTGAATTAAAGAGAGTTTTCTTTAAATTGTTTGTTTTATTTTGTTTTTCAGCTAATTTGTGTTAAAATCATAGTATTAAATACCTCAGCGAATCAACAGCAAAAATAGCAAAAGGACTTAATTATGAAGCACCAAAATTACAAAATGTTGGGAAGGTTTACTTACAGACAGATAATTTCTTTGTAACTTATCCTCAGTTAATCACATAAATATGAAAGTGGATGGGCTGGATGTTCTAAGAGTTCTTTTTCAAAAACGTAATCCACGAACGAACACTTTTTCGAAAAATTCGCGAACTACTTTTTTTTTCGAAAAATCACGAACTCCGTTTTTCGGATCTCCAAAGCCTTGCACTCTGAGGATCCTACCGACTGCGCCAATTAAGTTTCCGCTTCAGTAAACTTTGTTTTTAAAAAACATTTATTTTCAAAACTAAGTATTACAAATGAAAACTTTAAACTTAATCTAAATGAGACAAATTACTGCGAGGAAATCTCGAGAGTAAATGAATGGAAAACAGTAGCTGCAAGCGTATTTTATAATAAAATAAATGCTAGCATAAGCAAGTTACATATTATTGTTTCGGGAGAACAAAAGGGTCTTTATTGAGTTCCAATATAATTTTCACACGCTCTGCTTTCCACGCTGTGTTCGATATAATAAATATATTGAATATCGATAATGAACAAGTTCTTTTATTTCTTAGTCCATTTCCCAACAGTGCTTGCAAATAAAATAGTATACAAACCTCGGAGGAAAGTTTTCATTTCTGTCTCGAGATTAATAGTCAATCTCGACGCTTCGCGTCTCGATTGACTATATAAATCTCTCGACAGTAATGAAACACTTCCCTACTCGGTATGTAATATACTAATACATGATTCGGTGGAAAGTTTTCACATTATTGTCTCGAGAAGTGGTTGACCTCGGCGCTTCGCAACCATAGTATCTCTCGACAATAATGAAACACTTTCCACCTCTACATGTAATATACTATATAATGGGTGTTGGACGTATAGTTTCTTCTCGTAAATTTCCCACTTATAAAATTCTTGGCCCATCTATCTTAGTACAAATGCCAAAGCAAAAAGCACAAGAATATACAAAATACATAGACTTCCTTGGCTTGATTTAAAGTGAAATCCAAACGGGACACGTTTCATTCTGGATGCGGCTTGAAAGAAAAGACAATATTTAAGGACACAGTCTCACTTTTCTTTCGGTAAATTATATTCCTAGCAGAAATAGAATCTTACCTTGTACGCTTTTTAATAAGTTAGTGATTAATCAAAAATTATCACGCCATACTTGCAAACATTTGGAATTTTCAATGTGCTTTCGAAAACAGAAAATTGAGCAATCAAGATTACAATGAAGTGTTTTTGGCCTTGTGATATACTTGAGTAAAAATCTGATGGATCAATATTTGGAAAAAAAAACCCAGGTCTATGATAATAACTGTCAGTTGCAAAACTGGCTTAGTTTCCTGTTGTTTCAGGCTTCAATCAATAATGTATCCATGGATGGTTTCATTGAAACAACAATTTAACAATCAATCAACACTTTTTATTTAGTCAAAATAATTATTGTAGTTAAACAATTATTGTCCATTGTAAAGACAATTTGCGATGTTATCAAGAACGGATGCAGCATCTTTTTCAAGAACTTCAACGACGTGACATTGTTTTGTGACTTCTACAGCGCTGAAAGCTAAACTGTTCAATACAGCAATATCGCTTACGGCATTGACTATAGAAGCTTGCAATTGTAGCACAACATTTTGGGAGAAAAAGGCCAAACATAAAAAGTCTCCGGCGGTGCACTCGACCAAGGCAGTACTCAAAGCTTTGAAGTTGGTTTGAGTTTCAGCTACCTGCTTAAGAACGTTCTTGACCAAATCGGTGGCGTTGTCGTAGATTTCGAATTCGCAGTCGATAATTTTTTCCAAGATTGTGTTCATGAGGACGTCGACATTAGACTCTTCAGCTACGAGGCAATCGATGATGGCTTTACCGCTTTCGCTGGCGCCTGCACTTGCTTCTTGTACAGTGGCAGTGACTTTATCGTTGATTGCAACTGAAAGTGCGGTCAAAACGTTCACGAGGAGATGTTCGTAGTTGTCCTTGTTGGAGTCTAGTTGGTCGGCCCAGGCGTTAACAGGTTCAAGAAGTTTTTCGGTTTCAGCGACGATAACGTCGACGATTTCAGCGACGAATTTTGCGGCCTTTGAGGTTTTCTCGACAGGAGATTGAGTACTGGCCTAAAATAATGAATTCAATGAAACGGTCTTATAGTTAACTTGTTCACTTGAACATATTCTGAATATGATGTTTTTTTTTTAAATATTAAATGTATGAGTACTTACATGTACTGCCACAAGGGCGATAAACAAAGTAGCGAAGAATTTCATGTTGCAACTTTCAACTCTTTGAACTGAATTATATTTTTTCAATCGAATTGCCTTTTATATACAGAAAAATCTATTATCTCGAGATAAAAATAAGCACTTATGGCATCGATGGTTTATTAGAACCACTTGAGTCCTTTTGTTTTCAGATTTTGATCAAAATAAAATAGAGAAAAAATGAGAGACCAGGTGCGCAAGTGTATTATATTCTTGGAAACACTTAAAAAAATTGAAGTTCATCAAAAGTCTAGAGGGTCCATATCTTGCAAAAATTCCAAAATCAACGGAACAAAGGTTACATAGATAAAGGTAAAAATGAATAAAAAATATGTTCTATGATTTCAGCTAATGATTGCTTTCATTAAAATCTCATGATTGGTTCAAAGTATATTTAGCATAAAAAACTCTTGGTTCAAGACTTACAAATTTCTCACCTAGGGATGTAACCACTAACAGACCCCATAATGAGAAAAAAGTTGCCAATTTGTTTGCAAAACAGTTTCAGAGTGTTTCGACAGGAAAGGATATTGGATCCTGATACATTCTGTATGTACTTGAAATTGTAATTTTTATACCCGACAAAATTGGAGTTTGCACTCAAATTACTGAAGCCAAACTCTAGTCCAGGAAAAAATGAAATTTCTACCAATTTCTTGAACAAGTGTGCTGCAGTTCTATCACATCCTCACAATCTCATAACTGATAAATCCAAGGAATCTAAGGTTTTTTTTACTCTCTCTCCGTGGAACTCCGCCAATGAAATATTTAGGAAGGCATCATTTGCAAAACGTCATTTATCAAGTCAAAACATAAACAACGAAAATTGATTTTTACCAATCACTGGCTCTGCTGACTTCTAAAATTGACAGCTAAACTGTAATAGTTATTTACCTAACAAATGCGAAAAGTGATACTTTATTACCACACGCAACAGCAGTTGACCGAACGACGCGAAGCGGAGTTCGGTCCAGCCGTTAAGGGCGGTAAAGGCACTTTCCGCATGTGTTAGGTACAAAATTTTACCTATGAGCATCTACATCTCCAAAAAAGGGCATTGATGAAATTAATTATTGAATCAGATTAGTTAATGAAATAAGATTAGATTTAGAAATTATCAAAAATCCATTTTCTGGAAAAAAAAGGATTTTTGATTATAAATATCAAATTCTACTTTACCGCACACTATGCGGTAAAGTGCACTTTACCGCACACTTTGTAGTCCACTTTACCGCATACTATGCTGTAAAGTTAACTTTACCGCACACTATGCTGTAAAGTTAACTTTACCGCATAGTGTGCGGTAACGTGCTACTTTCCATTTGCAAATACGTGCGGTAAAGTGCACTTTACCGCACGCTCGTAGGTGATAGCTATTTACTTAACAAGTGCGGAAAATGAATTTTTCCGCACGCAGCTGCCGTTCACCGTACGACGCGTAGCGGAGTTCGGTGATGCAGCCGAGTGCGGATAAATATTTTCCGTAAGTGTTAGGTACAATATTTTTCCTACAGGCGAAAAAATGTAAATTTTTTCTTTTTTTTTTGACATATCAGTGCGGTAAAAATTTTTCCGCACTGACAGCCGTGCGGAAAAACTTTTTCCGCACTGATATGTCAAAAAAAAAAGTTTTACCGCACCGTGGGGGAAGACTCATTTTCCGCACGCATATCAGTGCGGAAAATCGATTTTTCCGCACGGCTGTAGGAAAAAATTTTTTACAAGTCAGTAGGGCCAGTAGAATTATTTATTAAAATTGTATTACCTATGTATTAATTTATAATTATTTTTTACAAATGAGTAACAAATAAATTATTGTACAGGGTATTTGATTATATTTGGCACCATACCTACAGCCTTTACTATTTAAGATAGAAACATTTTTAAATACAAAACTTGACAGTTTTTTTCTATATTTTCTTTTGACAGTATCAGAAAAAAACAAAATCGCATCGGAAAATGGAGAAACGTAGGCAACTTCTACTTTTTTCAATGGAACACCCTGTATATTATGCGATAAAATTAAAGATCTTTTCTTCCTGATTCCAAATATATATGTCGTAGGCATAATGCAAATTTAGGCTTTTCCTGAAATGCCTAGGTATTTTACAAAAAGCCGGCAAAACAAAAACAGAAAAATATATATCATGTTGTGACTGATTACTTTTAGGCATTTTACAATTTGCCAAAAACGGTGCCGTCAAAACGTGAATAGATATAAAACAAGTCGACTTTTTCCAATCAGGTATTAGGATAATTATCTATTATCTGTTACCCAATCCGAATTTGTTAATTTTTTGTAGGAAGGTATAATTTTAGTCGCTAATCACAAATCTGAAATCCGTTCTTGTTGCTCGCATTCCGTTTCCGCTTTGCGCGCTTTGTTATTAACCAGTACACTTATAACTAGTAATAAACGAACTGTAACGAAACTAACCAAAAGTATGCAAACCAACCCAAACTAACCCGTCCACCTAATCCGTACTAGTCCTTGAAACTCACGGCTACAGACCAAGATGTACTCTGGCTCCTTTGATTTCGATGTTATGCTTTTATGACAGTTAATGACTTGAGTGTTTGTTTACTGTTCGGACTCGTTTCAAGTTTTGAATGAAAAATCAGTTCGTAGTAGTGTTTTCTTTTAATATTGTATTTTTTTTACGAGCAATGTAAATAATTGAGCATTAAATTTAATGCCCGGGAAATTTAGAAAGTGCCCAAATAAGAGATATTATGACAAAATAATGAATTATATAGAAAATATCAGATTGCCCACACGGCATTATAAATGATGACCGGGTTATTATCGGTAAGTTTGGTAATGTCTGAATAAAATTGCAAACTAACCTGGTTATTATCGGTAAGTTTGACAATGTACTCCGAACTCTTGGAGTAGTCTGAACAGTAAGAGTACTCGGAGTACTCCAAACAGTTGGAGTACTCAAACAGTTGGAGTAACCGGAGTATTCCGAATAGTTGGTGTACTCGGAGTACTCCCAATAGTTGGAGGTATTTTGAACAGTTGGCGTACTAAGATCAGTAAGAGTACTTCGAACAGTTAGAGTACTCCGCTCAGTAGGAGTACTCTAAACAGTTAGATTACTCCGATCTTAGCGGTACTCCAAATAGTAGGAGTACTCCGGTCAGTTGGTTCACTGCAAACAGTTGGAGTACTCCGAACAGTTGCGTTGGAGTACTCTGAACAGTTGGGTTGGAGCACTCCGAACAGCTGTTATTGAATTTGGTGTCAAATGATAGTCTATGAAAATCTAAGATAAGAATGTAAAATCGGTTTTCTTTTAAAATTCCCCGTTCAGGTTTTACAGCCTGTCAAAGTTGCAAAAAAATCAATTATCAACTGTCAATATTTCCGAAACAGTTGAAGATAGGTATATGACATTGTGCATGAAATATGTCAAAAATTTCCCGCAGAATCCATAAATGTCATAATATACAGGTTGATCAATTTGAAAAAACAAAATTGATAGCAGCGGAGCTATTTTTGAGACACTCTGTATAATGAAAAATATATCAAAAAATTTCAAACAAAAAACAAAATTGACGTGTCTGAGCAATTTTTCAAAAATTCTACCGTTTTCAAAATAATGAATTTATCCGTTACTTTACGGACACAGTGTATATATTTGGAATCAGGAAGAAAAGATCTTTAATTTTATCGCATAATATACAGGGTGTTCCATTGAAAAAAGTAGAAGTTGCCTACGTTCCTCCATTTTCCGATGCGATTTTGTTTTTTCTGATACTGTTAAAAGAAAATATAGAAAAAAACTGTCAAGTTTTGTATTTAAAATTTTTTTCTATCTTAAATAGTAAAGGCTGTAGGTATGGTGCCAAATATAATCAAATACCCTGTACATCATACGCCAGGTATCAGTTTTTACTGGCTCTTGAAGGTGACAATCTCGGCGCCTAACGGCTCGCTAGTCATTTCCTTCAATCACCATGTTTCTTCCTCGATAGCTCAGTTAATTAAAACTCGTTTATTTATTTTAACTTTCGGTTTTATTCTCGAAAAAGTACAAAGGGGATTTTTTAAACAAAAAAAAGGTGACAAATTTGGCGACCTGTTGCGTCTCTCGTGGTCGCCCCCCGACAGACAGCGACCGAACCTTTAGAGGTTAACAAAAATACATTTTATAAATGCGGAGTTGCCACTTCTAATCTAATAATAATTAGAGAAATTCAACAAAAGTAAAATTATAAAAACTCATTAACATACTCCCCGCCTTGAGAGACTTATGTCTATCAATACCAATAACTTACTTACTATTACAACACACATATACTTTCTAAACAAAATCTAACTTCTTGAAAACCAAAACAAATTTTACGAAAAGTCTAGTCCAGGGTTATCTAAACAGTCACTCTAAGGGCAAAGCACAAATGCTGTTCACAGAACGCCGAATTTCACCATTTCGAACCTTTATATCAACAACTCTGCAGACACCGTCATCACCTGGATACAGTCTTGTGATTCTACCCAACTTCCACTCCAGTACAGGACCAGAATCATTTTTGACAAGAACTAATGCTCCGATCTTCACCAATTCATGCAAATTGCTTTTCCATTTGACTCGCCGCTGTAGTTCAGGAAGATACTCGTTTCTTCAACGTTTCCACACATGTTGTACAATAGCTTGAAGTCGCTGCCATTTTTTCAAGCGATTTCCACATACATCAGTTAAATCCACTTCCGGAATTGTTGTCAAACTTCGGCCAATCAGGAAATGTGCTGGCGTGAGTGCTGTCAAGTCCGAAGGATCGGGGTACAAAGGACAAAGAGGCCCCGAATTGAGGATGCCCTCTATTTGAATCAAAATGGTATTAAATTCCTCGAAAGTAAAAGACTCCACATTCGCGACCCGTTTCAAATGGTGCTTAATGCTTTTAATTCCGGCCTGCCAAATTCCCCCGAAATTTGGCGATCGAGCTGGAATGAAGTGCCACTGAATCCTATCAACAGTCAAAGATTGGGAAATATTTTTTGACTCTTGTTCTAGAAATTTATAAACTTGAATGAGCTCATTATTGGCTCCGACGTAGTTTGTAGTATTATCTGAAAAAATATAAGAAGGTTTACCTCGACGGCTTGCAAACCTTTTCAGAGCTGCTATGAAACATTCTGTAGTTAGTTCAGAGACCAATTCTATATGGACTGCCTTGGTACATAAACACACGAACAGATAAATGTAGGTATGCTTTAATTATTTTAGCACCTCTAGTTTTACGATCTTTTATGCAAAATGGCCCGCCATAATCTGTACCAACATTTATAAATGGACAATCGGGATTTACTCTAAAAGTTAGCAAATCGCCCATCAAATAATTCTCAAATTTAGGTGGTCTAGCTTCAAAACAGATAACACATTGCTTTACTATTTTTTTACAGCTATTGCGTCCCGAAATTGGCCAATATTGTTCTCTTATTGAGCACAAAAGCTGCTGCGCACCACAATGCATTAATCTTAGATGCTCTTCTCTAAAAATTAATTCTGTCAAAATATGATTTTTTGGCAAAATAATGGGATGTTTTCTTTCAAAAGGTAAACTTGCATTAGTCAGTCTACCTCTTACCCTTATCAATCCATCCTTCATAAAAGGATTTAAAGACAATATTTTACTTTTTTTGTGTACTATCCCATTATTTTTCAAATCATCATAATCTGCTTTAAAGCATATTTCTTGGACATGCCTTATCAATACTTTATTTGCATTCTCGAACTCACTCGGTGTCACTAAAGGCTCTACAATAATTTCTTTTTTGGATCCCTTTAATTTAAGATTTTCTATAAACCTAATTATATAACTTATTACTCTCAAAATTTTGCTATAAGATGAAAACTTCTTTAGGAGATAACTTAAAATATTTGTGCATTCTACTGAATCCATAATTTGCAAATTTACACTCGACTTCACAGTTTTTTGCTCTGGTACCTCAAAATCTATTTTAAGTTTTGTAAGATTCCATTCTGACCTCTCTAGCAACAAAAAATCTGGACCGTGAAACCATAGCTTATTCTCGTACAACATTTTTGGCGTGACACCTCGTGACAGTAGATCTGCCGGGTTTTCCTTTGATTTTACATGATGCCAACCATTCACATCAGTCATACTTTGTATTTCACTCACTCTATTAGCGACAAATTGTTTCCATCGGCATAAATCACGCAAGTGAGATCATAGAATCCGACCAGTAGTATATGTTATGAAAATTAATCTCCCAAGCCTTTATCGTTTTACATGCTAGATTTGCCAAAAGAATCGCACTGCAAAGCTCTAATTTCGCCAATGTTTGGCATTTAATTGGAGCAACTCTACTTTTTGCTACCAACAAGTTTGACAAAATTAAACCCGATGATAAGACACACCTAACATACAAAACTGCTCCATACGCCCTTTCACTCGAATCACAAAATCCATGCATCTCAATTATAACATACTCTGTGCTCAAAACATGTCTTGGTATTTTGAAGTCATTCACTAAATACAACTCATTCAAAAAAATCATCCACTTCTCTCTCAAATCACTAGGCAAGTTAGGATCGTTCCAATCAACCTTTAACTTCCACAGTTCTTGTAAAATCAACTTTTCGACGACAATTATTGGGCCTAGCAGACCCAAAGGGTCAAAAATCTGACATATAATTGACAAAATACATCTTTTTGTTAAACGTTGTGGAAGTGAAAAGTCTTTTATTTTGTACTGGATCAAATCTTCATTTGAATTCCAGAATATTCCCAAGGTTTTGTTGTGTTGGTTTTCCCCTATATTCAAAACACTAACATCAAGTTCCTTATTTATTTCAAACTTGACAAAATATGACATATTTCTCTCTGCATTTTTAACATGTCCTCAGACCTATCACATCCTGTTAGCTGATCATCCATGTAAAAATCCTTTTTTATTATCTCGCAAGCGTCTGGAAAAGTATCCTGGTAATCCATGGCCAACTGAAACAAACATCTAACAGCTAAATACGGCGCAGACGCTGTACCATATGTAACCGTTTGCAACTCAAAACATTTCAACCTTTGATCAGTTTCAGACCTCCAAAAGATACGCTGGTATTTTCTCTCATCCTCTGCTAACATGATGCAACGGTACATTTTGGACACATCAGCTGTCATCACAAATTTGTGCTTTCTAAGCCTACACAAAATTGAAAATACATCCTGCTGTAGAGGTGGGCCACTAAACTGAATATCATTCAATGACTATTTCACTAGAGTGTATTACATCAGCAATAAATTCGGTATTCACCTGACAATAATGCTACCTGGACAATACCAACAACATGGTATTTCAGCGACCATTTTTTGAAATTATTAAACTGGTATTTTTAATTTGAAGTTTTTATTAATAATTTTGCATTCTATTTATTTTCAAAATCTTACGTGAAATAGTCATGACGAATACCACTCGAGAAAAAATTGTGTAGGCAAAATTGTTCTCAAGGTTTTATTCAAGTTTGTTGTTTTCGTAACTTTGAAATCAATTTTCATTTGAGCGAAATTAGATTTCACTGGTGTGAATTTAGTTTTCATTAATTTGAAATCAAATTTCACTAGTGTGAAATAATACTGGAAATGGTATAGATGTAAATGACACTTTTAGAGGTTAATAGACATTTTACAGTTTGCAAAATTCATTTTAAAAGGTAGAATGTAACTGATGTGATCTTTTTTGTCATAGATCAATAAAATACCTCTGGAACCGGAACTTTATAGGGAATATCGTAGTTTCAAAAAAAATCGGAAATAAAGAAGTTGATTCCTCAACTTTATTCCTTCATATCACCACCAATCTTCAAGAAGGATTTTTTTTCACTATTTTTCTGGGAATCCCTAAAGGGTCTCCTACGACGCAGTGGAGAGTTTATGCGCCATTTGGGAATCACCCTGTAGATATATTATTTTTTATTTTTATATAAATTAGCGTAAAATATGTAAAATGTATTTTTTTTTTTTACTTACTAGGACAAAAATAATATTGAAAAACTGGGCCCCTTGAGGTACCGGGCCCGTGTTCGGCGGAACACCGGTGACTACGCCCCTGGTATATTTGATAAGTGGTTTGTATTACTACAGAGGAAATTCGTAAGAATTGCTACATCATTCGTGAGATTCTGACCAAAATCGTGTAATCTTACGAATAATCGTGAGATCTGGCAACACTGTTTGCATTATTGGTGTCAATAGGGTGTGGAAATGTGAAAGTATCACCTTCCAGGTAAAAAATGTCGAAAAAGTTCAGGCATAAGTTCGTAAATAGTTCTTTTTCTCGTCGTTTAAATGTTCTGTACGAAGTTCATTTTGTATAGACATTTGCCTATAATAAGTTTCCTAAGAAGATTCGATCTCCTTCAAATTCAGGAATTATCGAAAATATTTCGGAAAGTTTGTATGGTTCAACTTCCACATGGTGATGAGACGCGTCTGGAGGTCATTGTAGTAATGAAATTCATATAACACAGTTACATTTGCCACTCAGACATCATGGTACATTTTTTTAAAATTGAGTTATAAAAATTTAAAATTTTTGTTGCCAAGAGGATAAAGGTGCTCATCCAGTTTCTTCAATTGTGGTTTTCCTGTTTTGAAGTGTGTGAAGAGTCTTTTTGTTTTATTTTGATCGATTTGATTCTAATAAGTGTTTTTTTTTTTTTTATCAGGAAACAATCCAATTCGAGTGGTTTTAATTATGTTCAATAAGTATTTACGTTATTATATAAGAAAATACTTATTTTATCTTGAGATAATAGATTTTTCTGTATATAAAAGGCAATTTGATTGAAAAAATATTATTCACTTCAAATAGTTGAAAGTTGCAACATGAAATTCTTCACTACTTTGTTTGTCGCCCTTGTGGCAGTACATGTAAGTACTCATACATTTAAATATTCAGAATATTTTGCAGTGAACAAGTGTTCTATAAAATATTTTTTCTGCGATTGACAAGAAATGTCAAAATTTTTGACCGGTTGACAGCTTGCAAAACCCAATATATTTTAATTATGTTTCAATAGTTGCTAAGAAATCAATGAATAACAATACGGGAATTACTTTTCCGGCCTAGGCCGGGAAAGTGATTCTCGTACTGCTGAATAATTGGAACAAAAAAACAAACATTTAACAGGTATTTAATCGATCGCAGAAAAAATAGTATGTGTATTTCGGTAGAAAAACACATTCTCGGCCTTCGGTGTTTGCCGACTTACACCGTCGGCTGAGAATGTGTTACTTTTCCACCTAAATACACAATATACTATATTATTCTAGGCCAGTACTCAATCTCCTATTGAGGAAACCATGACCCCCTCAAAACTCGTCGCCGACATCGTCGACTTTGTCGTCGCTGAAACCTCACTACTTCTTGTGCAACCTTTGACCATCTGGGCTAAAGAACTAGACTCCAAAAAGGACAACTACGAAAAAGTCATCGTAAATCAATTAACCGAAGTTACAACTAAAATCAACGAAGTAGCCATTTCTTTGTTGAAAGCTGCAAGTGTAGACGCCAGCGACAATGGCAAAACCTTCATCAATTGCCTTTCAGGCGAACAAGCTGGAGTTAACGCCCTCATTGGCGCGATGAACCAACAAATGGTCGACTGTGCATTCGTAAACTACGAGAACGCCACCGTTTTGGTCAAGACCGTTCTGTATCAGACGGGTGTAGCTCTAGATAACCTCCTTGTTCTGAGTTCTACATTGGCCAACTGCACCAAAGGAGACTATTTGTGTTTGGCCTTTTTCTCCCAAGATGTTATACTACAATTCCAATTTTCTGTACTCACCGCCATTGCCGATCTTGGTGCAGTGAGAGATTTACTTTACAGCGTTGTAGAAAGCACACAAAATTGTCCACTCACTGAAGATGTTAAAGAACATGTTGTAGACGTTCTTAATAACATTGCAACATGTGTTCACAACAAACATTAATTATTTTAACTAAATAAACATTGAATGCCATGATAACATAACAAATAAACATTGCTCATTAATTGCTAAATTGTTGTTTTAATAAAACTATTTAAGGAATATGAGTAAATGTTTTCGTAAATCAATCATACCAATATTGTTTTTGTAGTTAAAATTTTGCACTCTTTGTATTTATTTTTGAAGAGCACAGTTTTCCTATAACGAAAATATATAGTCTGTTTATGTTTGGTTGAGCAGTCTCTTATAGAGTGGGTCCAAGACAAGGATGGGATTGTACTATAGAATCTGGAGAAAAGTTCGGTCAATTTAACATAAAATTTGTAGTGGATTATTTTTTGCCCAAGTTTTCCAAAATTTTGCGGAAAATACTTGAGAAGGATAGAACTTTTAAAATTGAAATACTTCCATATAATGCCCGATCCGGTCGAAATTCCGGTTTCGGCCGGATCGACCAAATACCCGATCCGCCAGTTATTATCAAGAGACACGTGTTTTTTTTTTTTTTTTCAAATGAGATTATTACTCAAGTATATCCCAAGGTGATTCAAAAGTACTTGAAACTTATTTAGGTATATAAGTGTGCCTGACACAAGTTTTTTCAGCCAACCTATATGGCGCAACAATTTAATCAATATAAAAGTCCACTTATCAAAAAGTAGACAATATCTCTCCTAGAAATATCATTTACCAAGAGAAAAGTGGAACTGAATCCCTAAAGCTTGCTTTTTCTTTTAAGCCACATTCTAAATAAAACACGTCCCGTTTTGGATTTCACTTTAAATCGAGATAAGGAAGAGCAGAAGTCTAAGTCTATTCTCTGAAATACCTCCGAAGCATTAGATATGCCAAATGGCATTCTCAAACATCAGTATCTACCAAACGGCGTTACAATTCTACAGAGTTTCGAACTAAATTGGTTCAATGGAACTTGCAAAAATGCAGATGAAGCATCGAGTAATGAATATACTTTTGATTTATTAAAGTTTGGTATATGAAAATGCTCTCTCTTGATAAGCTCATCAAGGGATCTAGGCTCCATGCAAATTCTGACATCGCCATTTGGTTCATTCGCAACCACTATTGAATGATGTACTCAGTCAGTTGCTTTCAAAATTTTCACAATAATAGATCAGATGACGAAGAAATTCAAGTCCAACCATGTTTTTTGGTTGACGAGGCAGATTCTAAGGAAACCTAATGATGAAGAAAAATCCTTCAAGTTATAAATTCCTAGAATGCTATTGGAACCTGGTACATTGGTTGATAATATCAAAAGGAGAGGACTTCAACTGAATTAGGTGCTAGCTGACGTCTCACACATAACCTCAATGACATGTTTTTCCCCCTAACGAAAGTCACGTTTTGTCATTGGTGACAAGCTAGCGCCTGTGTGTTGAATAGACCTTTCAAACGCTTTGTTTGTTCCCCCAACGGAAGTGAGGTTATGTGTGAGACGTCAGCTAGCACCAATGAACTATAACCAAAAACTGGAATGCTAACACATAAGGACGAACTTGAAGCCTAGTGCGGCTGCTGCGGAGGGGATACCTGTTTTTGTCGCACTCATTATGTTAAATGGCGAAAATTGCTTCCAACACGTATTCCAATTGATGAAACCTGTGAAGGGAAATATGACAAAACTTTCGAAAACGTCATATGTCAGCGAGCAACAGAAAAAAAACAACATTCCCCCTTGTGGCATCTGTTTTTCATGGCTTCATTTTTTTGGCAGTTATGGCAATGTGTGCGCATTCCAGTTTTTAGCTATAGTTCATTGGCTAACACCTAATTAGGCTCTCCAAACCACGTGATTTTTCAATATGGCGAACGTGGAAAATTTGACGTTTGTTTGTTTATCTTGAGTTTATTTGGAATATTTTCAAGTTAATTACAGTTTACTTTGTTATAATATACTTTTTGAGATGCAGAGTGAATATTTAAAGACTTAAATGCAGGAAAATCGGGATGTGGGCGAACGGTTACTTTGAAAAAATGTCCAGTTGACATTTTGACCCACAGTTTTCACAAATTTCACATCAATGAGCAAATGAAGGCCTACACAAGCTTAAATTCTCACAAGTATTTTGAGTCTGGCTTAATTTTAGATGCAGGAACAGTGGTAGTGAAACATTTTCACGTTTTACCTGGAAAATTTTGAAACAGAGAGCAATGAAAAAAGCCTGACATCATCCTTGTTACTTTGTTGAAACTGCTTCCACAATCAACTACAAGACACGTTTGTGGCATTTTTAATTAGAAGAAACACTAACGAAGTCAATAAAATAAAAAAATTAACAGAGTTCATTCACAAAACAACCACAAAATGTACTTTAAAAAGCTTTAAATTCCATACACTCATATACGGGATAATGAACTTTCGCCATAACGCACTTTTTGACAGGTCGTTGGAATGCCTAATTAGGCACTAGCTGACGTCACAAACATAACCTTACTTCCGTTGAGGGACAAACAAAGCATTTGGAAGCATTTGGAATGTCACCAATGACATAACGTGACTTTCGATAGGGGGACAAACATGTCATTGAGGTTATGTGTGTGACGTCAGCTAACAACTAAATTAGGTGCTAGCTGATCAAATCAGAAAAAAATAATGAGAGGTATAGAAAATGCAAAAACGAAGGGTTACTGTATTATTTGATACATATTTTATATACAGGGTGGTCTAAGTTGGATACTTTTAATAGAAAACGTCAACTTCTGAGCGAGATACAAAAAAAAAAAAACATTCTGAGGCTCAAATTTAATAAATTCAATAAGAATCGTAATCTTTTCCAACTGACATGAAAACCGTTTCAGAACCAGTAATTTCCAGTTGCCCACTTATTTTTCAATAAGTTGAACATTTATCCTATTAGATAAATGAATTGATTGACTGAAAATTACCATTCTACAATGGTTCCCATGTCGGTTGAAACAAAACTAATACTTGAAATAATTAATTTTTGACAGCTGTCAAAGTTGAATTTGATAGTTGAATGTTCAGTGAGTTTGCGAAAAAATTGACACCAGTCAAATTTAATTATGTCAAAATAATTAAAATAAATAAAAATCATTGACAACAGTCAAACGTTATTATTTTTACAGTAAGCCACGATTGAATGTGAATTGATATTAAAATTTGTGTCATTATTGTAGCATAAAAATCATAACTCTTGAAACAAGAACTTTTTGATTAATGTCAATATTGAATTTGACAGATGCATATCTGATGAACTTGTAAAAAAATTGACAAGAGTCAAACGTTATTATTTTGACAGTAAGCCACGATCTAATGTGAATTGATATTAAAGTTTTTGTCATTCTTGTAGAATAAAACTCGTAACTCTTATATCAAAAATTTTTGATTAATGTCAAAGTTAAATTTGACAGTTGAATGTCTAATGAACTTGTAAAAAAAAAATGACATCGCTCAAATGTAATAATTTTGACAGTGGGGCATGATTTAACGTTTATTGAAATTAATATTTGTGTCATTCTTGTAAAATAAAATTCTTGACTCTTGAATCAAAAAATTTTTGATTAATGTCAAAGTTAAATTTGACAGTTGGATGTCTGATGAACTTGTAAAAAAATTGACACCAGTCAAATGTAATAATTTTGAAAGTGGGGCACGATTTAATGTCCATTGAAATTAATATTTGTGTCATTCTTGTAAAATAAAATTCTGAACTCTTAAATCAAGAAATTTTTGATTAATATCAAAATTAAATTTGACAGTTGAATGGCTAATGAACTTGTAAAAATTGACATCAGTCAAATGCAATAATTTTGACAGTAAGGTACGATTTAATGTCCATTCAAATTAATATTTGTGTCATTCTGGTAAAATAAAATTCTTAACTCTTGAATCAAGAAATTTTTGATTAATGTCAAAAATAAAATTGACAGTTGGATGTCTAATGAACTTGTTAAAAAATTGACACCACTCAAATGTAATAATTTTGACAGTGGGGCACGATTTAATGTCCATTGAAATTAATATTTGTGTCATTCTTGTAGAATAGACTTCTTAACTCTTGAATCAAAAAATTTTTGATTAATATCAAAATTAAATTTGACAGTTGAATGTCTAATGAACTTGTAAAAATTGACATCAGTCAAATGTAATAATTTTAACAGTAAGGTACGATTTAATGTCCATTCAAATCAATATTTGTGTCATTCTGGTAAAATAAAATTCTTAACTCTTGAATCAAGAAATTTTTGATTAATATCAAAATTAAATTTGACAGTTGAATGGCTAATGAACTTGTAAAAATTGACATCAGTCAAATGTAATAATTTTGACAGTAAGGTACGATTTAATGTCCATTCAAATTAATATTTGTGTCATTCTGGTAAAATAAAATTCTTAACTCTTGAATCAAGAAATTTTTGATTAATGTCAAAAATAAAATTGACAGTTGGATGTCTAATGAACTTGTTAAAAAATTGACACCACTCAAATGTAATAATTTTGACAGTGGGGCACGATTTAATGTCCATTGAAATTAATATTTGTGTCATTCTTGTAGAATAGACTTCTTAACTCTTGAATCAAAAAATTTTTGATTAATATCAAAATTAAATTTGACAGTTGAATGTCTAATGAACTTGTAAAAATTGACATCAGTCAAATGTAATAATTTTAACAGTAAGGTACGATTTAATGTCCATTCAAATCAATATTTGTGTCATTCTGGTAAAATAAAATTCTTAACTCTTGAATCAAGAAATTTTTGATTAATGTCAAAAATAAATTTGACAGTTGGATGTCTAATGAACTTGTTAAAAAATTAACACCACTCAAATGTAATAATTTTGACAGTGGGGCACGATTTAATGTCCATTGAAATTAATATTTGTGTCATTCTTGTAGAATAAAATTCTTAACTCTTGAATCAAGAAATTTTTGATTAATATCAAAATTAAATTTGACAGTTGAATGGCTAATGAACTTGTAAAAATTGACATCAGTCAAATGTAATAATTTTGACAGTAAGGTACGATTTAATGTCCATTCAAATCAATATTTGTGTCATTCTGGTAAAATAAAATTCTTAACTCTTGAATCGAGAAATTTTTGATTAATATCAAAAATAAATTTGACAGTTGGATGTCTAATGAACTTGTGAAAAAATTGACACCAGTCAAATGTAATAATTTTGACAGTGGGGCACGATTTAATGTCCATTGAAATTAATATTTGTGTCATTCTTGTAGAATAGACTTCTTAACTCTTGAATCAAAAAATTTTTGATTAATATCAAAATTAAATTTGACAGTTGAATGTCTAATGAACTTGTAAAAATTGACATCAGTCAAATGTAATAATTTTAACAGTAAGGTACGATTTAATGTCCATTCAAATCAATATTTGTGTCATTCTGGTAAAATAAAATTCTTAACTCTTGAATCAAGAAATTTTTGATTAATGTCAAAAATAAATTTGACAGTTGGATGTCTAATGAACTTGTTAAAAAATTGACACCACTCAAATGTAATAATTTTGACAGTGGGGCACGATTTAATGTCCATTGAAATTAATATTTGTGTCATTCTTGTAGAATAAAATTCTTAACTCTTGAATCAAGAAATTTTTGATTAATATCAAAATTAAATTTGACAGTTGAATGGCTAATGAACTTGTAAAAATTGACATCAGTCAAATGTAATAATTTTGACAGTAAGGTACGATTTAATGTCCATTCAAATCAATATTTGTGTCATTCTGGTAAAATAAAATTCTTAACTCTTGAATCGAGAAATTTTTGATTAATATCAAAAATAAATTTGACAGTTGGATGTCTAATGAACTTGTGAAAAAATTGACACCAGTCAAATGTAATAATTTTGACAGTGGGGCACGATTTAATGTCCATTGAAATTAATATTTGTGTCATTCTTGTAGAATAGACTTCTTAACTCTTGAATCAAAAAATTTTTGATTAATATCAAAATTAAATTTGACAGTTGAATGTCTAATGAACTTGTAAAAATTGACATCAGTCAAATGTAATAATTTTAACAGTAAGGTACGATTTAATGTCCATTCAAATCAATATTTGTGTCATTCTGGTAAAATAAAATTCTTAACTCTTGAATCAAGAAATTTTTGATTAATGTCAAAAATAAATTTGACAGTTGGATGTCTAATGAACTTGTTAAAAAATTGACACCACTCAAATGTAATAATTTTGACAGTGGGGCACGATTTAATGTCCATTGAAATTAATATTTGTGTCATTCTTGTAGAATAAAATTCTTAACTCTTGAATCAAGAAATTTTTGATTAATATCAAAATTAAATTTGACAGTTGAATGGCTAATGAACTTGTAAAAATTGACATCAGTCAAATGTAATAATTTTGACAGTAAGGTACGATTTAATGTCCATTCAAATCAATATTTGTGTCATTCTGGTAAAATAAAATTCTTAACTCTTGAATCGAGAAATTTTTGATTAATATCAAAAATAAATTTGACAGTTGGATGTCTAATGAACTTGTGAAAAAATTGACACCAGTCAAATGTAATAATTTTGACAGTGGGGCACGATTTAATGTCCATTGAAATTAATATTTGTGTCATTCTTGTAGAATAGACTTCTTAACTCTTGAATCAAAAAATTTTTGATTAATATCAAAATTAAATTTGACAGTTGAATGTCTAATGAACTTGTAAAAATTGACATCAGTCAAATGTAATAATTTTAACAGTAAGGTACGATTTAATGTCCATTCAAATCAATATTTGTGTCATTCTGGTAAAATAAAATTCTTAACTCTTGAATCAAGAAATTTTTGATTAATGTCAAAAATAAATTTGACAGTTGGATGTCTAATGAACTTGTTAAAAAATTGACACCACTCAAATGTAATAATTTTGACAGTGGGGCACGATTTAATGTCCATTGAAATTAATATTTGTGTCATTCTTGTAGAATAAAATTCTTAACTCTTGAATCAAGAAATTTTTGATTAATATCAAAATTAAATTTGACAGTTGAATGGCTAATGAACTTGTAAAAATTGACATCAGTCAAATGTAATAATTTTGACAGTAAGGTACGATTTAATGTCCATTCAAATCAATATTTGTGTCATTCTGGTAAAATAAAATTCTTAACTCTTGAATCGAGAAATTTTTGATTAATATCAAAAATAAATTTGACAGTTGGATGTCTAATGAACTTGTGAAAAAATTGACACCAGTCAAATGTAATAATTTTGACAGTGGGGCGCGATTTAATGTCCATTGAAATTAATATTTGTGTCATTCTTGTAGAATAGACTTCTTAACTCTTGAATCAAAAAATTTTTGATTAATATCAAAATTAAATTTGACAGTTGAATGTCTAATGAACTTGTAAAAATTGACATCAGTCAAATGTAATAATTTTAACAGTAAGGTACGATTTAATGTCCATTCAAATCAATATTTGTGTCATTCTGGTAAAATAAAATTCTTAACTCTTGAATCAAGAAATTTTTGATTAATGTCAAAAATAAATTTGACAGTTGGATGTCTAATGAACTTGTTAAAAAATTGACACCACTCAAATGTAATAATTTTGACAGTGGGGCACGATTTAATGTCCATTGAAATTAATATTTGTGTCATTCTTGTAGAATAAAATTCTTAACTCTTGAATCAAGAAATTTTTGATTAATATCAAAATTAAATTTGACAGTTGAATGGCTAATGAACTTGTAAAAATTGACATCAGTCAAATGTAATAATTTTGACAGTAAGGTACGATTTAATGTCCATTCAAATCAATATTTGTGTCATTCTGGTAAAATAAAATTCTTAACTCTTGAATCGAGAAATTTTTGATTAATATCAAAAATAAATTTGACAGTTGGATGTCTAATGAACTTGTGAAAAAATTGACACCAGTCAAATGTAATAATTTTGACAGTGGGGCACGATTTAATGTCCATTGAAATTAATATTTGTGTCATTCTTGTAGAATAAACTTCTTAACTCTTGAATCAAAAAATTTTTGATTAATATCAAAATTAAATTTGACAGTTGAATGTCTAATGAACTTGTAAAAATTGACATCAGTCAAATGTAATAATTTTGACAGTGAGGCGCGATTCAATGTCCATTGAAATTGATATTTGTATCATTCTTATAGAATAAAATTCTTAAAGGAGCATTTACATTCACTTCGAACTTCAAGTTAAATTTGACGTTTGATATTTTATCATTTACATTGCAGAACAAAAAGGTCAAGTCAAAACGTCAGAATTTAATGAGAATCATGATGAATAACCTAAAAATTTGACATTTCACAAATTTCTGCTTGCCCTCGGCAAGCAGCTCGCCGAAATTTGAAGTGAACTTCAAATTTATTTCAATGTAAATGAATCTGTGCTGCCGCCATATAGCAAGCACGTCAATTTCAAGATAAATTGGACTTCGGAGTGAATGTAAATGCACCATAACTATTGAATCAAAAAATGTTTGACTAATGTCAAAATTGAAATTGACAATTGGATGTCTGATGAACTTGTAAAAAAATTGACACCAGTCATATGTAATAATAATTTTGACAGTGGGGCACGATTCAATGTCCATTGAGATTAAAATTTGTGTCATTCTTGTAGAATAAAAATCGTAACTATTGAATCAAGAAATTTTTGATCAATGTCAAAATTAAATTTGACAGTTTGATGTCTGATGAACTTGTAAAAAAATTGACAACAGTCATATGTAATAATAATTTTGACAGTAAGGCACGATTTAATAATGTCCATTGAGATTGAAATTTGTGTCATTCTTGTAAAATAAAATTCTCAAGACTTGAATCAAGAAATTTTTGATTAATGTAAAAGTTAAATTTGACAGTTGGATGTCTGATGAACTTGTAAAAAAATTGACAACAGTCAAACGTAATTATTTTGACAGTAAGGTACGATTTAATGTCCTTTAGGATTAAAATTTGTGTCATACTTGTAGAATAAAATTTTTAACTCTTGAATCAAGAAATTTTTGATTAATGTCAAAGTTAAATTTGACAGTTGGATGTCTAATGAACTTCTAAAAAAATTGACAACAGTCAAACGTAATTATTTTGAATATTCCCGGCTCATGATTGGTTCAGAAATTGAATTTTTGATTATTTCCGGCTTTTGGTTGGCTTAAAAATTCAAATTTGGATTATTCCCGGCTCTTGTGATTGGCTTTGAAATTCAATTTTCGAATTTTTCCGGCTCCTGATTGGCTTTGAAATTCAAATTTTGTATATTCTTGACTCATGATCGGTTCAGAAATTGATTTCTCGATTATTCCTGGCTTTTGATTGGCTTCAAATTTTGAATATTCCTGGCTCTTGATTGGCTTCTAAAGTCAATTTTTTAATTTTTTCGGCTCTTGATTGGCTTCATATTTTGAATATTTTCGGCTCTTGGAATATTTAAAATTTGAATTTTAGAGCCAATCAAGAGCCAGGAACATTCAAAATTTGAATTTCCAATATAATCGACAAAAATTGATTTTGGAAGCCAATCAAGAGCCAGAAATAATCAAAATTTAAATTTTAGACCTAATCAAGAGCTGGGAAAATTCAAGAATCGACTTTGGAAGCGAATCAAGAGCTGAGAATACTTAAAATTCTACTTTCTAAACCAATCAAGAGCCGGGAATATTCAAAATTTGAAGCCAATCAAGAGACGGGAATAATCAAAAATTCAATTTCTAAATCAACCATGAGCCGGGAATGTTTAAAATTTGAATTTTAAACCCAATTGGAAGTTGAGAAAATTCAAAAATTGGCTTTGGAAGCCAATCAAGAGCCGGGAATATTCAAAATTTGAATTTCTAAGCCAATCAAGACCTGGGAATGATTAAAAATTGAATTTTTAAACCAATCAAATGCCGGAAAAATTCAAAAATAAGCCAATCAAAAGCCGGGAATAATCAAAATTCGAATTCCCAAACCAATCAAAAGCCAGGAAAATGCAAAATTCGAATTTCATCTGACGGGAAACTAAATTTTTTACCAAATGTTGCTACAAACGAATTCTATACATTTTCATATAAAAAGTGTTGTTACATAAAATCTCACGCTAGAAACCTACTTAAAAGATCTACCCCCAAAACGACTTGTTGCTACACTTTCGCTCGTGTTGCTACACTTTTTTTTTAATTGTTGCTACGTAGGTTCATTGGAATCTTGCTCTAAATCTACTGAAACTACTCTCAACGATTGTGTTGTTACGCTTTTTTTTCGTGTTGCTACATAAGGCATTCAACAAACTCTTGGCGGCATCCCTTACGTTGCGTTTCCGGTGACATATTTGACGCAAATAAATCTAATGTGCGCATGCTTAGGACTTATGTTACGTATTGGTTACGTCTTTACGGTAAAATGAGCTTAACAGGGAGATCTTTCAATAGTGTCAAATGATTGAGATACGGATACGGATACGAGGCTAGGCCCGTAACGATACGGACAACGCAACGTAACAAAACCACCGTATCTATTCTGCGCATGCGTAGATCGATGCAGACACGGATACGTTTGAAATTCAGGACCTGCTTAAAGTGTCTATTGTTATAATACGTTCGAATATCAGTGCCGTAGTATTACACATTTGAAATTTATTTATATTTCCAGTCCCCTCCTTTTTATAGAAACAGAACGCTGTCCATCAGTGTCTGCATAAATTGGCATCTCACAGAAATGTTCACTGTCCTTCAACGTGTTAAATAAATTAAATAAATTGATAACTCTAAATCTTAAACTTGTTAATTAAATGAAGACTATTATTAACCTTCAAGAGACGAGTTTTCTATTTTTGTCCTCGAGGGGAAAATTGTTTTCCTCTCATTCTCTACCTTTTGCAGAACGAATGCGGAATAAGAGGGACGCGAAATAAAGGAAAATCGCTAAATTAATCTAGGAGTTCCCGCGGGCGATTAATAGATCGTTCGTTTGAGGAGGAAGAGAAAAGGAGTTCGAGGGGCGAAAGTTGCGACAGGTTTTGTCTTTTCGAACTCGGAGAACTTCAATTCAATTTAGTGATTTCGTCATAGGAATTACAATAATTGAATCTAGGATTTTTACGAAAATATAAAAACTGAATAAGACAGAAAATTGACCCTAGGTAATTCGATTTCAAATCTTTCGAGTTTATTGGAAAATAACCTATAGTTGAGAAGTGATTAGAATTTATTATTATTGTTCCAGGTCAAGATTACTCCTCGAAACTACCTCAACAAGAATCTCCTCTAACAGATACCAGTGCCTCTCTACATCTACTTTTACAACAAAGAGAAGAAGAAAATCGTTTGGAAGTCGAAAGACTCACTGCCGAAATTAAAAATCTCAAATTGCAATTGTTACAATACAATGGTAAGACAAAATTTTGATTTTTCTTTGAAACCTGGTTAGTTGTTAGGGCATAAACCCACTCGAAAGATCCATCAAAACTTTGATGCAAGAACGTTTAAGAGCAAAGTTTACCCCCCATATTCAACTAAGTTTGTTGCTTATAATTCAGTTTAAATATTACTCCAAACTGAAATAAACTTTGTTCCGGACAGGATCTGATAATTCGGCATAATACAGTGCATTCACTATCGCAATATCCGGGCGACACATGCTCTCAATTTCCTATCGGAACTTGTCCGATGCAATCATTTATGGATAATAATAACAATCAAATTATAGTAAATTAATAAGGAATTCGGTTGTTGGTTAGGAAATTTAATTTATAGTAAACCTACTAAAGTCTAATTAAAACAGGCAAAAGTTGGTGTAACAAAACTCGATTATAAAAGCATCAGTGGAATTAGCTGCGGACTCAATTCTCTCTAATATACTGACTTAATTTGAGGGGCCAATTTGCATGCTTTTAAAGTTTTTATAAATACACTAAAAGGGAACTTTGTCCTTATTAGAGAAACAACTTTTTTGTATGATGGAATTGGAGTTGACATGTATGACATTATAATTGAACAAGCTATATCAATTTTCGATTTCCTGCAATATACGATTCAAATTTTCAATCGAAACTGGATATTTACAGTGCTAATTCACAGTGGAAATGAAACATTCGACGCTATTAACATTCGACCAAAAGGGTTTTCGAAATATTTTCATTTCATTTGCTTTAGGGGTTTTGTTGAAGAGAGTTTTTCTTCTTCACAAATATTGTAGAATGAAATTGAATGAGAAATTGTGGTTTATAATTTGGGAAATTTTAATTAAAGTTTCTAGAAGTCAACAAAATATTTCTATATAGAAATTATTATTCTAAATTATGACTTAATCTTGTTAACATTTCGCCCAGCCTTAATGAAGAAGCGACTCTGAAATCCTGGCTCGCATTCGAACTAATTTAATTTTTGTGAAAACTCCACTGATTGAAAACACGATTAAAATGTCGCTTCTCGGCGTTGAAAATGAGCTCTTCGTTATGAAAATGTTGAAAAACTCGCGTCCCTAATCCCCTTGTTTATCGGAAAGTTTAATTAAAATTTTTATTAGACACATTGTTTGAGGTTGGAGATTTATTGCCACAATATTGATACACAATAATTTGATCATCATGGAAAAACTCTAATTAATAAATCCTCAAAGTTTTAAATTGCTGTGATGGCTCAAAGTATTTTTCAGGAACTTTCAAATGTGATTTTACAAGAATTTTATGATTTTTCCAAGTATTAATGGGTAAAAAAAAATCGTAACTCTGGTTGTGAGTTTCATATCAACTTCCAACTTGTTTTGTATCATGAAAAAAGTCTAGTTAATACATCCTGAAAGTTTCAAGTTGCTACGATGGCTAAAAGTATTTTTCAGGAATCTTCAAAGATGATTTTACAGGAATTTTATGATTTTTTAAGGTATCAATGAGTAAAAAAAATCGTACCTCTGGTTGTGAGTTTCATATCAACTCCCAACATGTTTTGTATCTTGAAAAAATTCCAATTAATAAATTCTGAAAGTTTCAAGTTGCTGTGATGGCTCAAAGTATTCTTCAGGATCATTTAAAGATGATTTTACAAAAAAAAATTGATTTTCTCAGGTATGAATCCGTAAAAAAAACCCATAACTTTGGTTGTAAGTTTCATATCAACTTTCAACTTGTTTCGTATCATGAAAAAACTCTAATTAATAAATCCTGAAAGTTTCAAGTTGCTGTGATGGCTCAAAGTATTTTTCAGGAACCTTCAAAGATGATTTTACAAGCATTTTATGATTTTCTCAGATATCAATAGTAAAAAAAAAACGTATTTTTGGTTGCGAGCTTTACATCAACTCGTAACTTGTTTTGCATTATAAAAATACTCTAATTAATAAATTCTGAAAGTTTCAGGTTGCTATGATGGCTCAAAGTATTTTTCAGGAACCTCCAAAGATGATTTTACAGGAGTTTTATGATTTTCCCAAGTATCAATGAATATAAAAATATCGTAACTTTGATTGTGAGTTTCATATCAACTCCCAACTTGTTCTGCATCATGAAAATACTCTAATTAATAGATCCTGAAATTTTCAAGTTGCTATGATGGCTCAAAGTATTTTTCAGGAACCTTTAAAAATATTTTTAGAGGAATTTTATAATTTTCTCAGGTATCAATGAATATAAAAAATCGTAATTTTGGTTGTGAGTTTCATATCAACTCCCAACTTGTTTTGCATTATGAAAATACTCTAGTTAATAAATCCTGAAAGTTTCAAGTTGCTGTGATGGCTCACAGTATTTTTCAGCAACCTTCAAAGATGATTTTACAGGAATTTTATGTTTTTCTCAGATATCAATAAGTAAAAAAATCCATAATTTTGATTGTGAATTTTATATCAACTTCCAACTTGTTTTGTATCATGAAAAAACTCTAGTTAATAAATCCTGAAAGTTTCAAGTTGCTATGATGGCTCAAAGTATTTTTCAGGAACCTTCAAAGATGATTTTACAGGAATTTTATGATTTTTTAAGGTATCAATGAGTAAAAAAAATCGTACCTCTGGTTGTGAGTTTCATATCAACTCCCAACATGTTTCATATCTTGAAAAAATTCCAATTAATAAATTCTGAAAGTTTCAAGTTGCTGTGATGGCTCAAAGTATTCTTCAGGATCATTTAAAGATGATTTTACAGGCATTTTATGATTTTCTCAGATATCAATAGTAAAAAAAAAAAACGTATTTTTGGTTGCGAGCTTTACATCAACTCGTAACTTGTTTTACATTATAAAAATACTCTAATTAATAAATTCTGAAAGTTTCAGGTTGCTATGATGGCTCAAAGTATTTTTCAGGAACCTCCAAAGATGATTTTACAGGAGTTTTATGGTTTTCCCAAGTATCAATGAATATAAAAATATCGTAACTTTGATTGTGAGTTTCATATCAACTCCCAACTTGTTCTGTATCATGAAAATACTCTAATTAATAGATCCTGAAATTTTCAAGTTGCTATGATGGCTCAAAGTATTTTTCAGGAACCTTCAAAGATGATTTTACAGGAATTTTATGATTTTTTCAGGTATCAATGAGAAAAAAAAAATCGTAACTTTGGTTGTGAGTTTCATATCAACTTCCAACTTTGTTTGCATCATGAAAAGACTCTAATTAATAAATCCTGAAAACTTTAAGTTGCTGGAATGACTCAAAGTATTTTTCAGGGTCCTTCAAATATGATTTTACAAAAATTTTATGATTTTTTGAGTAAAAAAATCGTAACTTTGGTTGTGATTTTTATATCAATTTCCAACTTTTTTTGTATCATGGAAATACTCTAATTGATAAATCCTGAAGGTTTCAAGTTGCTGTGATGACTCAAAATATTTGTCAGGAACCTTCAGAGATGATTTTTCAGGAATTTTATGATTTTCCCAGGTATCGATGAGTAAAAAAATCATAACTCTGGTTGTAAGTTTCATATCAACTTCAAACTTATTTGTTATTATAAAGAAACTCTAATTAATAAATCCTGAAAGTTTCAAGTGGCTGTGATGGCTCAAAGTATATTTCAGGAACCTTCAAAGGTGATTTTACAAGCATTTTATGATTTTTTCAGGCATCAATAAGTAACAAAAATCGTAACTTTGGTTATGAGATTGATATCAACTTCCAACTTGTTTCGTATCATGGAGAAACTCTAATTAATAAATCCTGAAAGGTTCAAGTGTAGTTCAAAGTGATGCTGAACAATGATGTGTTTATGATATAATCAACAACATCACCAAATTGTTGGAAGTGACCCAAAACAGCATCTTATTCATATTTGAAGCCAGAAACCAATAATCTGGCTGGCCGATGGTTCCTGGAGGCAGTGGAACAGCACAGCAAAGGATAATACTCTAGTCAAAGTTGAGTTTTCAAGGACCAATGGATCAACTGGCACATTTGTCCTTGCATGCAGTAACCTTTTTCGTCAAAATCGCGACATCTTCTTTTTGAAATGTTTGGTTGCCCTACAGCACTGGCTACATTCTGGCATCCTGACATCAAATCCAAATCTTCAAGGATTGGAGTCTAAGATGGGTGTAGAAGGTCTCGAATCTTTGGAATCCTTCCTCTCCCTCTTCTCCAAAGACTTACTCCTTCTGGTCCTATATCTATTTCTATATCTGGGGCTTCTAGATCGCGATCTGATAATCCTTATTGGGCTAGGACTTCTTGGGAAACTTGAACGCCTTCGATCGTATCTTCTTCCAGGTGATTTATTTCTCCAAGGCTTCACTCGTTCCCTTTCTACCCTTCCACGTTCCAGTTTCTCTATGTCCTCGATCTTTTAATTTTATCCCATGATCTGGAACGGGACTTAATATCACGTGGTAAGGAACGGTGTCTGGGAGGTTTCTCTTCTTTTTCCACGTTATCAGAATTTCTTCTGCTTTTAGTATCCATCTTAACTATCTCCCTTGGTACCTCTTTTTTATCAGTTGCACTACCATTAACAACAACTTTATTTAAATTTGGGAGTTCACTAGGTGATATGATGACTTTGGTGTCCTTTCTCCCTTTGGGTTTAGAAGTACTAACATTTGGATTTGGTGGATTGGCGTTGGGTATCATTGGCGTAATAATGTAATCGTTCGTGGTTAAAGTTTAAAAAACCAAGTTAAGAAACCTTTCAAATTCCCCTTCTTGTGCTATGATGGCTCAAAGTATTTTTCAGGAACCTTCAAAGATAATTTTACAGGAATTTTATAACTTTCTCAAGTATTAATGAGTAAAAAAAAATCTATAACTTTGGTTGTGACTTTCATATAAACTTACAACTTGTTTGGTATCATGGGAAAGCTCTAGTTGATAAATCCTGAAAGTTTTAAGTCGCTGTGATGACTTAAAGTATTTTTCAGGAACCCTCTAATGTGATTTTATAGGAATTTTATAATTTATTCAGATATCGATGAGTAAAAACAAATTATAATTTTGGTTGTGAGTTTCACATCAACTTCCAACTTGTTTTATATCATGAAAAAACTTAAATTAATAAATTCTGAAAGTTTCAAGTTGCTGTGATGGCTGAAAGTATTTTTCAGGAATTTTCAAAGATGATTTTACAAAAATTTTATGATTTTTCCAAATTCAACTTCCAACAACTTGTTTTGTATTATACAAAAAGTCTAATTCATAAATTCCGAAAGTTTCAAGTTGCTGTGATGGCTCAAATTATTTTTCAGGAACCTTCAAAGATGATTTTATAGGAATTTTATGATTTTTTCCGGTATCAATGAGTAAAAATATTCGTAACTTTGGTTGTAACTTTCATATCATCTTCCAACTTGTTTTTAATCATGAAAAAACTCTATTAAATAAATCCTGAAAGTTTCAAGTTACTGGAATGGCACAAAGTATTTTTCAGGAACCTTCAAAAATGATTTTACCAGAATTTTATGATTTTTTCAATCATTAAGTTAAAAAATCCATAACTTTGGTTGCGAGTTTCATATCAACTTCCAATTTGTTTTATAACATGAAAAAACTCTAAATAATAAATCCTAAAAGTTTCAAGTTGCTGTGATGCCTCAAAGTATTTTTCAGGAACCTTCAAATATGATTTTAGGGAATTTTTTTGATTTTTTCAGGTATCAATGAGTAGAAATATTTTTGTAACTTTGATTGTGAGCTTCATATCAACTTTTAGCTTATTTCCTATCATGACAATATGATACACATATTGAATTAATGAATACTGAAAGTTTCAAGTTGCTATGATGACTCAAAGTATTTTTCAGGAACCTTCAAAGATGATTTTACAGAATTTTTATGATTTTCTCAGGTGTCAATGGGTTAAAAAAATCATAACTCTGGTTATGAGTTTCATATCAACTTTCAACTTGTTTTGTATCATGAAAATACTCTAATTGATAAATCCTGAAAGTTTCAAGTGACTGTGATGACTTAAAGTATTTTTCAAGAACCTTCAAATGTGATTTTAGAGGATTTTTTTGATTTTTTTTAGGTATCAATGAGTAAAAATATTCGTAATTTTGGTTGTGAGTTTCATATCAACTTCCAACTTGTTTCGTATCATGAAAAAACTTCATTTAATAAAACCTGGAAGTTTCAAGTTGCTGTGATGGCTCAAAGTATTTTTCAGGAATATATGTTTAAATTATAATTTGGGAATTCCCAAATTTCATATATGTACCAACTAAATAACTCTTTGAAAAAAACACGTTGGGAAAATTGAAAAATCGAAACAAAAGTACTGGTTCGCCTAAAATGGCAAGAAAGGTCGAAGGGCCAAAAACCCTTTTCTGTATAATAAGGTAATTTGACTTTCTCTATCTTTGATGAGGGTTTATGCCCCTGTCCTTATATAATCGCCCTTTCTGATAACTGTAATTGTATAATAAGTCTCGGACAGCAACTTGACATATCAAGATTGGATTTTGGTTATAATAATTTTACTTTGTAAAGCTAAAATCCATAAACTGAAACAAAATCCGTATAAATACGAAATATTTGCAGCGCCATCATCGATCAATCATCAGTTTGAGTATACATTTGACACCCCTTTAAGGGCCATCTTTTGTCGAGTACCACAATGGCCCATTATGTTTCCTCGAGAGTAGCGTTTAAGTGCCACAATATAAGAACAAATTGATTTTCTCTGGCAGCTAAATAGATTTATTTTCCAGGTAATCGTATCAGCCAAACTTCGTTGCATAATTTTGTCGACCCTTCGCAGAATCCCGTCCTCACGAATACGGAATTTTCTAGTTACATCAAGAAACAAGTTCTCCAAGCGGAAATCTTCCACGGCACTCCCTTGAATAACGAATACGAGCTCATACCTTTCAATCATTTCACTTATAGTCGAGTTTATCCGTCGGATTTGGGCTTGGGGAAACGAGTGGTCGAAAAACCGATAGGCTACAAACGAAAAGACATTTTGGAAGCCCTAATGAAGGGCCTGGATTATTTGAATAAAAATATTACGGAAAAAGGAAGGAAGTATGCTTTGGATGATTTTTTGGAGGGATTGTATCGAATGGAACCGACTACAGGCACTCAGTTTGAGCTTTATTTTAAAAATAAAAACACAAATAAGACGATAAATATTGATCATGGATTTACAAAAATTGTTGTAATGAGACCTTTTGCACCATTGCAAACTGTTACAAGTGAAAGTCTTCCAGGTGAGAATCAAAAGCTACTTTATATTATAGTATTTGATTGGCAACATTTCAGGTCCAAAAGACAAAGAACTAATTCACATAATACTTCCATTGAGTGGTCGAACTGCAACATTTCAAAATTTCATGGACAAATTTGTAAAAATCAGCCTCAAAAACGACAAACGAGTGCACCTTACAGTTGTATATTTTGGTGAAGAAGGGCTGGCGGAAGCCAGAAGCATCATGTCTAGGGTTTTGATGACGAAAAACTCTGGAGGAAACGCTAATAATTTGAGATTGCTAGCATTGAATGAGACTTTTTCAAGGTACAACCATATGCAAAGTAGTTGTAATGATTGTTATTAAAAAGCTGTTTTTTTTTTCAGGGGTAAAGGTTTAAGGGTGGGTGCAGAAAGGGCTTTAGATGCTGGCCAAACTAAACTTACAGATGTATTGTTGTTTATGTGCGATGTTGATATTGTATTTAGTGCCAGGTAAGTTCGAAATTTGTTGTAATATTTAAGGTGTGGAAAAATACTGTCCAAGACTCAAAATTTGTAATGTAATTCTGTTAATAAACCCATAAACCTTACGGTAACTGCAAGGAGAGAACTTCCTCTGGGATTTTGCATAGAAACTTCCTTTATCATTTGATAAATATTTCCTGTACCACCTCTTCTTTAAACAAAATCATAAACATCTTCTAGTTCTTGAGTCAAAGTTGAAACTTCCCAGGAATGAATCAGCTCCAAAATTGTGAATTGAAACTTTCACCCAACTTCCTCTAGGTATTTTTCATATTCACTGGTACTCCATCTATGCCAGGTGCCTTCTTCCTTTTCAGTTTCTCGTTTGCTGTGACCAATTCCTCTGTTGTTACTTCAGGTATCAGATTTTCGTCCACGTCTACTTCGTTCCAGGTGAATAGGGAATAGTTCTTTTCCACCTGTGTTGCGTTTGTCATTGTAAGCGCCTGTCCGTGCGTTCTAAGTTTGAGTTTTCACGTGGAAATTTTATGTCCCTCCCCTCATGGGTCATGGGTTGCTGTCAATTTTGTCGCATACTTTTTTCCAGCAGCTTCTCTTAGATTTATCAATGGCTAATCTTTTTCTTGTATACTCTTCTGCGTCTAGGGTGTTATCCGCTGGTTGTCGTTTGTTTTTTCTTGTTAATTTTCTTCTTGATGCCAGGCATTTTTTTCTTATTTCTCTTACTTCTTGAGTCCACTAGTAGACGGGAGCTCTATTTTCGGTGTATTTTCTTAGCGATATTGGAATTCTGGAAGTTTCAAGTTGCTTCTAGGGTCAAAGTTAATACTTCCTAGCGATGAAGTTGCTTCAAAATTTGCATTGCACTGATATTCCTTCAAATTTCTTCAAGTTTTCCTGGGCTTCTATATTTTCCTACTTCCTCCGTCTTCTTTAAATTTCCCTAAACATTTTTTATACTTTCTCGGGTTTCTTCAAACTTTCAGGGGTTTCTATTGGATATAAATTTACCTACTTGATGTTCTCTAGCATTTATTCCAAAGTCAAAAAATTTACTAAACATCTTTGAGGATCGGGTTTAAAACAACTGAGCTGTGATTTTTCCAACAAATCATAAATTTGATTTGATTACAATATCCAATTGGAAATCTGTAGAAATTTAAATAAATCTGAGGAAGAATCATCGAGGAAGATTTCCTCTAGCCTAGAATAAAGAAATAAGAAAAATTCAAAGATTCAAGAATGAAGGAATAGGGAATATTCAAGAGAAATAATTAAGGACAATTCAAGAGCCTTGAATAGAAAAATAATTGAAATTCAAGAACCAATTTTACAGCACACCTAGCTTGGACAGTAGTTTTCATAGGCGCCGGAACCATAAGTAAATTTTCTATGATAGTGATTTAAGTACTGTATGTAGAGGGTAGGTAGGGCAATACTGAATTCCTAACTATTTATTTCCGTTGTTTTTGCTATACCTACATCAACAAACAGTTTGAATATTCTCTTGTGTAGTATTTAAGCCTGTTTTTTCAATAAGTCGTTGGATTATTATTTCCTTTCCGTTTGTTTTAATGATAGGTATGTTTACATCACATGAATATATTATGATGTCCCAATACACTGGCTTTTTTTACCTAGTTTATTATGGAAAAAAATTCAAAAATTCGCTGAGGGTGAACCGATGGTCCTATCGAGCTGAAATTTGGTACGAATCTACTGGAGTACGAGTTTTATCAAGAAAAATATCTGGCAAACAAAGCCCCTTGGGGGCCCCTAAACATATTTTTTTGGCCGATTCGTATGAAATTTGGAATTTAGGTGGAACAGGTCAAGAAAAGTTTGATATTCCAAGTTTCAGCCCCCTCCAATCTACCGGAGGGTTTTTAGCCCCTATTCCCCTAATTTTAGAAAAGGGCGTGTAAAGGTTCATACACGCCCTGCATTTACTTTTCCGAATTTTGAAAAATGAAAAATAATAACGGATAGAGGAGCCAAAAATACGTCGAAAATCTCTCTTGGTGTTTTTCGCTCCGACGCTCCGTAAGCCCGAAAAAAAAATAAAAAAAGATTTTGATTCTGGAAAATTTTGGGGACCCGACACGGCGCCACTTTTTCCCTTATAACTTCGGTAATTTCAAACCGATTGTCTCGAATCAGGTTTCCTTCGAAAGAGCAAAAAACTACCTACAAAACTGTTTTTTATTGATATTACAGGTTGTTTCTGTCTCCGAGATATAAGCCGTCAAAGTTGAATTTTCTTTGAAAATGTATTGAAAGTTTTGAAGTTGATTTTCTCAAAAATGGTTTTCCGTGCAGGAGTAAGGTGAAAGGGGTCCAGAAAAGTTGATATTCCAAGTTCCAGCCCTCTCCGACCTACCTGAGAGGTTTTAGCCCCTATCCCCCCAATTTTGGAAAAGGACGTGTAATGGTGCATACGCGCCCTGCATTTACTTTTGCGAATTTTGAAAAATAAATATACCACCGGAAATGTCTCCTGGTGTTTTTCGTTCCGACGCTTCGTAAGCCCAAAAAAAAATAAAAAAGATTTTGATTCTGGAAAATTTTGGGGACCCGACACTTTTTCGCTTATAACTTCAGTAATTTCGAACCAAGGCTTTTTTTTACCTAGTTGATCATGGAAAAAATTTCAAAAATTCGCTGAGGGCGAACCGATGGTCCTATCGAGCTGAAATTTGGTACGAATCTAATGGAGTACGAGTTTTATCAAGAAAAATATACGGCGGGTCCCTATCTGGAAAGCAAAGCCTCCTGGGGGCCCCTAAATATATTTTTTTGGCCGACTCGTATGAAATTCGGAATATAGGTGAAAGAGGCCAAGAAAAGTTGATATGCCAAGTTTCAGCCCCCTCCAATCTACCGGAGGGGTTTTAGCCCCTATCCCCCTAATTTGAAAAAGGGCGTGTAATGGTGCATACACGCCCTGCATTTACTTTTTCGAATTTTGAAAAATAAAAAGTATCACTGGATAGAGGAGCCAAAAATACGTCGAAAATGTTTCCTGGTGTTTTTCGCTCCGACGCTTCGTAAGCCCGAAAAAAAATAAAGATTTTGATTCTGGAAAATTTTGGGGACCCGACACGGCGCCACTTTTTCGCTTATAACTTCGGTAAGTTCAAACCGATTGTCTCGAATCCGGTAATTTCGAAAATCCGGTTATTTCGAAAGAGCAATAAATAACCTTCAAAACTATTTTTTATTGATATTCCAGGTCGTTTCTGTCTCCGAGATATAAGCCGTCAAAGTTGAATTTTCTCTGAAAATGTATTGAAAGTTTTGAAGTCGATTTTCTCAAAAACGGTTTTTCGTGGAAAAGTAAAGTAAAAGGGGTCCAGAAAAGTTGATATTCCAAGTTTCAGCCCTCTCCGACCTACCGGTAGGGTTTTAGCCCCTATCCCCCCAATTTTGAAAAAGGGCGTGTAATGGTGCATACACGCCCTGCATTTACTTTTTCGAATTTTGAAAAATAAAAAGTATCACTGGATAGAGGAGCCAAAAATACGTCGCAAATGTTTCTTGGTGTTTTTCGCTCCGACGCTTCGTAAGCCCGAAAAAAAAAATAGAAAGATTTTGATCCTGGAAAATTTTGCGGACCCGACACGGCGCCACTTTTTCGCTTATAACTTCGGTAACTTCAAACCGATTGCCTCGAATCCGGTTATTTCGAAAGAGCAATAAATTACCTACAAAACTGTTTTTTATTGATATTCCAGGTCGTTTCTGTCTCCGAGATATAAGCCGTCAAAGTTGAATTTTCTCTGAAAATGTATTGAAAGTTTTGAAGTCGACTTTCTGAAAAACGGTTTTTCGTGGAGGAGTAAGGTGAAAGGCGTCCAGAAAAGTTGATAATTTAAGTTTCAGCATTCTCCGACCTACCGGAAGGGTTTTAGCCCCTATCCCCCCAATTTTGAAAACGGGCGTGTAATGGTGAATACACGCTCTGCATTTACTTTTCCGAATTTGGACAAATAAAAAATACCACTGGATAGAGGAGCCAAAAATACGTCGAAAATGTTTCTTGGTGTTTTTCGCTCCGACGCTTCGTAAGCCCGAAAAAAAATAAAAAAGATTTTGATCCTGGAAAATTTTGGGGACCCGGCACGGCGCCACTTTTTCGCTTATAACTTTAGTAATTTCGAACCAAGGCTTTTTTTACCTAGTTAATCATGAAAAAGATTTCAGAAATTCGCTGAGGGCGAACCGATGGTCCTATCGAGCTAAAATTTGGTACGAATCTAATGGAGTACGAGTTTTATCAAGAAAAATATACGGCGGATCCTTATCTGGAAAGCAATGCCCCCTGAGGGCCCCTAAATATATTTTTTTGGCCGATTCGTATGAAATTTGAAATATAGGTGAAAGAGGTCAAGAAAAGGTGATATTCCAAGTTTCAGCCCCCTCCAATCTACTGGAGGGTTTTAAACTCCTATCCCCCCAATTTTGGAAAAGGGCGTGTAATGGGTGCATACACGCCCTGAATTTACTTTTCCGAATTTCGAAAAATAAAAAATACCACCGGATGGAGGAGCCAAAAATATGTCGAAAATGCCTCCTGGTATTTTTCGCTCCGACGCTTCGTAAGCCCGAAAAAAAATAGAAAAGATTTTGATCCTGGAAAATTTTGGGGACCCAACACGGTTTCACTTTTTCGTTTATAATTTCAGCAATTTTTAACCGATTTTCTCCAATCAGGTTTTCTTCGAAAGAGCAAAAAATTACCTACAAAACTGTTTTTTATTGATATTCCAGGTTGTTTTTGTCTCCGAGATATAAGCCGTCAAAGTTGAATTTTTTCTGAAAATGTAATGAGAGTTTTGAAGTCGATTTTCTCAAAAACGGTTTTCCGTGAAGGAGTAAGGTGAAAGGGGTCCAGAAAAGTTGATATTTTAAGTTTCAGCCCCCTCCAATCTACTGGAGGGTTTTAAACTCCTATCCCCCTAATTTTGGAAAAGGGCGTGTAATGGTGCATACACGCCCTGCATTTACTTTTCCGATTTTCGAAAAATAAAAAATACCACCGGATAGAGGAGCCAAAAATACGTCGAAAATGTCTCCTGGTGTTTTTCGCTCCGACGCTTCGTAAGCCCGAAAAAAAATAAAAAAGATTTTGATTCTGGAAAATTTTGGGGACCCGACACTTTTTCGCTTATAACTTCAGTAATTTGGAACCAAGGCTTTTTTTTACCAGTTGATCATGGAAAAAATTTCGAAAATTCGCTGAGGGCGAACCGATGGTCCTATCGAGCTGAAATTTGGTACGAATCTAATGGAGTACGAGTTTTATCAAGAAAAATATACGGCGGGTCCCTATCTGGAAAGCAAAGCCTCCTGGGGGCCCCTAAATATATTTTTTTGGCCGACTCGTATGAAATTCGGAATATAGGTGAAAGAGGCCAAGAAAAGTTGATATTCCAAGTTTCAGCCCCCTCCAATCTACCGGAGGGGTTTTAGCCTCTATCCCCCTAATTTTGGAAAAGGGCGTGTAATGGGTGCATACACGCCCTGAATTTACTTTTCCGAATTTCGAAAAATAAAAAATATCACTGGATAGAGGAGCCAAAAATACGTCGAAAATGTTTCCTGGTGTTTTTCGCACCGACGCTTCGTAAGCCCGAAAACAAATAAAAAAGATTTGCATTCTGGAAAATTTTGGGAACCCGACACGGCGCCACTTTTTCGCTTATAACTTCGGTAATTTCGAACCGATTGTCTCGAATCAGGTTATTTCGAGAGAGTAATAAATTACCTACAAATCTGTTTTTTATTGATATTCCAGGTCGTTTTTGTCTCCGAGATATAAGCCGTCAAAGTTGAATTTTCTCTGAAAATGTATTGAAAGTTTTGAAATCGATTTTCTCAAAAACGGTTTTCCGTGGAGGAGTAAGGTGAAAGGGGTCCAGAAAAGTTGATATTCCGAATTTCAGCCCTCTCCGACCTACCGGTAGGGTTTTAGCCCCTATCCCCCCAATTTTGAAAAATGGCGTGTAATGGTGCATACACGCCCTGCATTTACTTTTTCGAATTTGGAAAAATAAAAAGTATCACTGGATAGAGGAGCCAAAAATACGTCGAAAATGTTTCCTGGTGTTTTTCGCTCCGACGCTTCGTAAGCCAGAAAAAAAAATAAAAAAGATTTTGATTCTGGAAAATTTTGGGGACCCGACACGGCGCCACTTTTTCGCTTTTAACTTCGGTAATTTCAAACCGATTTTCTCGAAACAGGTTTCCTTCGGAAGAGCAATAAATTACCTACTTGGCTTTCCGAGATATAAGTCGTCAAAGTTGAATTTTCTCTGATAATATTTCAAGTCGATTTTCTTAAAAACGGTGCTCCGTAGAGTAGTAACTCTAATAAGCTTTTTTGTAGTTCTCAATGAGATCTACAAGTTTTGTATTTAAGGTTTTTCTCCCAGGCTCTTTGTTTTTCCGCTAGGATGCTTTGAAATTTTAAAAAAAGATGAAAATAAAGAACTTTTTTGTCGTGACGGTCTAAAGGGGATCCCAAATATCTCCTAAATGGGTTCAGTTTATTTTTTTTTCTCGTTTTTTTTTTTTTCAATGGTGCTATCGAAGCCGAATATAGCCGAGCTGCCGAAAATGCACGAATTTTATTAATATGCAGGGTCGATCAATGATCCAGCGTGGCGAAATTCTTATTTTTCAACTGGTCCCATTCAAGCTTATGTGTGTAGTAATAATTAATTTTACTTCTGGTAATTTTTGAAGCCCGAGCCCCCATAGTAATTTTGAAATTCCGGTGTCTATGGTATTTTTTTACACCCTATATAATCATTATCTAATTTTTCCTTAACAGATTTCTAGATAGATGTCGCTGGAACACAAAGCCAGGCAAAAAAGTCTACTATCCAGTAGTCTTCAGCTTATACAACCCTCATGTAGTATACACCTTACAAGGCAAAGAAGTACCATCCGAAAATGAACAACTAGTCATATCCAGAGACACCGGCTTTTGGCGGGACTTTGGATACGGAATGACTTGCCAATACAGATCGGACTTTTTAAAAGTCAAAGGCTTCGATGAGGATATTGTAGGTTGGGGCGGAGAAGATGTCATGTTATACCGAAAATACGTTACTAGCAGTGTCAAAGTTATACGAGGTACTGATCCAGGGATTTTTCATATATGGCATCCGAAAGTGAGTAAATAATTTAACCTATTTTCTTTCATTAAAATTGTTGAGAGTGTGTACAATGTTCAGGTAACAAGATTTCTTGTTCTCGCAGAGAAACTATTCAAACAATTAAACGGAGTTTAATCTCTCTGTCCAGAAGTTTAAAGTTCTGAAATCTTGGTCCTTTGTTCTTTGAAATTTGAAGCGAATTTAGTAGTAATTGCTTTTCTCGAGTTTACGTGGATATTTTGTATTCTTTTAGTATGGTTGAAATGTGAGTTCTCGTATTAAATTAATTTACTAATTAAAAAGCCTCGCAATTATATAACTCTCTTGTATCTTTTCTTATTTGGAAAGCAATTAAATTCTGTTGATTATGATCCGAGAGGGTGCTCTTTTTTTTTTTAATTAAAAATCCAATTAAAAATTATTCCAGGTTTGTTCCGGTGGTCCGGGGGGTCAAAAACTATCGGCGGACCAATACAGGGCCTGTATTAGATCGAGGGCTTTAAATGAAGCCTCACATGCTCAACTCGGTTTTTTGGCTTTTAGAGACGATATAGCGGCCAATAGTAATCCTTCAAAGTACCCGGTACATCCGATTAGACCAATGAAAAGCTCCTTTAGGAATAAGAATGTTTTGAATAAGTCCGGTGGCAAGTTATAATAATTTTTTATTTTGTAGTTTGATATCGTAAACCAGTATTGTGATAGTTACCCCTTAAAAGTGAGACAAAAATAATATCCGAAATATGTTTTTGTGTTTTCTTTATTGTGATTTTGTAAATAGGTACTGTAGAAAACTGTAAGATTTTTATGTCTGAAAAGGGTGCCACATAATTATTTCATTTTTGGTATATTAATTATATACTTTATGAGAATTTGTTATACTTTCTGTGAAAGAAAATGTGATTTTATAAGTATTCCAGTATAATAATTTATACACTTACCTTGTTTTTAACTTATTATTATTAATTTATTTAATCTTGTTTATTAAAATTTTTAAAGTTTATTGTATTTATAATTAGTATTGTAAGACTGTTATCAGGCCACATCGATTTAAATTATTAATATTTAAAAAAAAAAGCTTTTTTAAAACGAATAACGTACATTATTATATACAGGCGAGAGTGGCCAATTTTAATAAAAAATAAAACTGAAAAAATTGTGTTTTATTTAATACTTGCTGTACCCTTCACAGTAAAAAGAGTTTGTGTAAAATTACCATAACCTTCATTGGTATACCTGGATTTACAAGTAAAATATTACAGACCACTAATACATAGCTAGAATACTTCTGTACTTTTACATTGTTGTCTATGTATCTGTTTCTGGGACTACTAAGTAATTTTACGTAGCTGATATATCAAAACCATGGAAATGTACTAGCGTTGTTAACTGAAAAAAATGACTATTCCAGTAAAAACACGTTAAAGAGTTGAGAAATTACCATGTTAATTATATAGTTTTTACCTGAAATTTCATGTAAAAGATCCCTATTCTTCTCGGTAATTTACCTAGTATTCCTAGTGAAAATATATATGTATTTCACATGAATTTACATAGAAGTTAGTTCTATCCAACTTCTCCATTCCTACTTGGTTAGTTTTATTTTTTGGTTAAACTTGATATGGGACATCCAGAACATATTTTTTTACGGAAAAATAAAAATAACCAGTCTTAAACCAAAAATGAAGAAACCGAACTTGAAGAACTAAAAATGTAAAAATTGTAAAGTTGGAGATAAAACCCCTGTTTTATGTGTCATAGGCAGACAAATTACTTTTTGATAGTTCATGAGTATTTCAAGTTATTTCAACGTAAATTTTTTTGGAATTCCACAGAAACTCTGAATTTTTTTATAAAAATTCCTTGGAATATGGTTGAAATTTAAAAAATAATTTCACTATTTTTTTTTTTGGAATTTCATAATTATTTATACGATTTTTTAAGTAGTTTCTTGTAAATTTTTAGAAATTTCACGAGAATTTTGATATTTTTAAGAAATTTTGCTAGAATTCCAAATAATTTCAGGAGAAGTCCAAGTAATTTTATTTCAGTAAAATTAAATAAGAAATTTCATAGAAATTTTTTGGAGTTTCGAGTAATTTTACAGGATTTCAATGAAATTTCAAGTACATTATTTCATGGAAATTTTATGAAATTTCTAGTTATTCTGTAGGAAGGGTTTTTTTCTCAATTCCACGGGAATTACAAGCAATTTTGGAAAAATTTTCTGAAATTTCACATTTTTTTTTGTTAATTCGACTAGAATTCCGATTTACTCTACCGGAATATTGCTAAAGTAATAAATTATTTCACAAGAACTTTTCGGAATTTCACGAGAATTTCATATTACTTCAGAATTTCACTTAAATTTTGAATTATTCCACGGGAATTCTATATAATTTCATGAGAATTCAATAAAAAATTTAGGTAATTTCACAAGAATTCTATGTAATTTACGGAAATTTTTGCGATTTTTTTTTTTTTCAATTTTACGAGAATTCCAAGTTATACCATAGACATTTTTCAAAATTCCACTGAAATTACAAGTAACTTTGAGGATTTTTTTTTTTTCGGAATTTTACAAGGCTTCCATGTATTCTACAGGATTTTTTTTTTTTAAATTTAGCGAAAATTCCTCGTAATTTCACGTAAATATTTTGGAATTTCATGGGAATTTTCTGGAATTTCACGAGAATAATTTAAAATTCCGGAGGCATTGAGTCGAATACTCAGAAAATTTCGTCGTAATTCTTTCGCAGTATCACATAATTTTACCGAAATCCCACGTAATTCCACTATAATTCTTAGAATTTTTTAAAGTTGCATGAAAATTTAATATACTTTTAACGGGAATTTTTTGGAATTTTACGAGAATAATTTGGAATTCTGGAAGAATTACGTGGAATTTCCAGAAAATAGATGGAATTTCACTGGAATTTTTTCAAAATTCTTCATAATTTTACCGGAATTTCACTGAACCTCCAAATAAATTCATAAGAATTATTTAAAATTTCAGGAATTTTCTAGAATTCCAGGAAAATTAATGGAATTTCATCGGAATTCCACGTAATTCCACTGGAATCCCAAATAATTTCAATTTTTTTTTTGATTTTTGACATTTGAGTAAGTTGTTAGTAGCTTATTATTTATTAGTTATTTCAAATTTCAATAAATTATTATTAATTGTTTAATAAAATTTTGCCTGAATTTTGAAGTATAAGGTAATATTCAACGCAACCGTAACGACGGTGTCAAGGCCTCTGAAATATACTGGAAAAATTCTTTTTTTTAGTAAATTCAAAAAAAAATTAAAATTGTACACCAGAATTCCTCATAATTTCATAAAAATTCTCTGGAATTCTACCAAAAATCCATGTAATTTTAAGGAATTTTTTTTGTAATTGCAAGAAATTTTACAGGAATTCCTCGGAAAATTACAGGATTTTTTCTTGGAATTTCACAAAAATAATTTAAAATTTTGGAAAAATTACTTGGAACTTAATTCAGAAAAATAATGGAATTTTATCAGAATTTCGTAATTTTATCAAAATTCTACATATTTTTGTTTGGAATTCTACGTCGTATCCCTGGAATTTTATTAAATTTTACTGTAATTTCATTTAATTGGACACAATTTTTATGAAATTTCGCATAATTTGCACGTAATTTCAGTGGAAGTTTGCATAGTTTTTATAGAATATTGCAAATTTTCTATAGAATTCCGCAGAAATTTTTTGGACTTTTGCATAGTTTCATGAAATTTCGCATAATTTTTATGGAATTCCATACAACTAAAATCCATATCATTTTTATGGGATTTTGATTTTTTTGAAACCCTACGTTTTTTTTTTTTGAAATTCAATGTTGTTTTCCTTTTAGTTTCACTAGAATTCTGCATAATTTTAATGGGATTTGGCATATTTTCAATGAAATTCTGCATACTTTGTATAAAATTGGGCATCATTTCCATGGTATTCAGCATAATTTCAATGAAATTACACATAATTTCTATGGGTTTTTATGTAATTTAATTGAAACTCAACGATTTCTTTGGAATTCTACGCCATTTTTCCAGAATTCCATTTAAATTCAGTGAATTTTCACATAGTTTTTATAGAATTTTGCATAATTTCTATAGAATACTATGATTTTTTTTTTAAATTAAACGTTTTTTTTCTATGGAATTCAGCATAATTTCAATAAAATTTTGCATATTTTTTACGGAATTTCATTTAATTCCATTTAATTTTACTAAAATTTCGCATAATTTCTATAAATTTTCGCATAATTTCTATAGAATTTTGCAAAATTCCTATGGAATTCAATGTAATTTTTCTAAAATTAATTATTTTTTCTTTGGAATTCCACGTCATTACTCCTTTAATTTCACTTAAATTCCGCATAATTTTGATGGAATTTAGTATACCTATTTGAAATTCTATGTAAAATCAATGGAATTTCGCGTAAATTTTAGGAAATTCCGCATAATTTCTATAGAACTCCGCATAACTTCTATGTAATTTTGCTAAAATTAATTTTTAATCTGTCATCATTTCTCAGAAATTTTATTGAAATTAAATGGAATTCTATGTTATAACTGAAAATTCCAAAAGAAATTACAATATATTTGCGCATAATTTCTTTAACATTTCTCATAATATAAATGGAAATCTACCTAAATTGCCCATATCTTTGTTAAATTTCGAGCAACTTGAAATAAATTATGTATCATTGGAAAGAACATCAAATTCTCTATAAATCTGTGTAAAAGTTTAATAGCTCAAATAATTTTTGGTTCGCGGTCCGCAGACCTATGTTGCACGCACCCTCGTAAAAATGCTTAACCTATCCAGAAACCTTCCTTGGGATGGCCAGAACAATCTACTAAAGTTTTATCGAAATCGTATAAGTGGTGTAGGAGCGCATAAGGGACAAACAAACAAACATTGATTTTTATGTGTATAGATTTGAATAGATGTTGAAGAAAACTAATTGAATTAAATATTAAATATAAAATTATCAAGGCAGTTTTATGTTATTAACTAAAATCAAATTAAACAATTACAAATTATTATTTGCTCCTTCCCGATGAACTTCCTTGTACTGGATTAGCTGTATTGCTCTGGTCGCTATCGGAATTTTTTGGATTATCAGTTGTAGTAGATGATGGTCGTCCATATAAGTAGCTGGTGGATCTGTAACCGGAATCGTAATCGTAGGAAGGATACCTGGATCTTGAGCCAGAACCGTAAGTACTGTAGCCAGTACCATAACCTCCATAGCCTCCATAGCTGAATAATAAATAAGATAATAATATTAGAAACAACTATGATTCCTGAAAAATTCAGCTGAGTGCCTTTTTTCATAGATTTTGGCTTCAAATCTCAGAATAATTTTAGTGTATGGAGTTTGAGGGATATTGAATAACCATTAGGATACAAAATCTTGATAAAAAAAAAATTGAAATTTCATCGTTTTAGTAAGAAAGTCTACCTTATGATTTAAATTTTGGAAAACTTTGAAAGGTCATAACTTTTTTTCTATTATAGATAGAAAGCTGAAACTTTCACTGAACTTTATCCTTTTCAAAGGACTACAATCCCTGGAAATTTCAACTCATTTGCACTTATAGTTCCTGAGATAAAATCGTGTTAAGCAATTTGGGGTGATTTATCAATTTTTTAATTTTTCTGAGTGCCTTTTTTCATATATTTCGGCTTCAAATCTGAGAATAAATTATTGTATGGAGTTTGGGTTATGTTGATTGACCATTAGGATACAAAATCTCGACAAAAAAAAATTTGAAATTTCATCGTTTTAGTAAGAAGGTAGTACCTACCTTATGATTTAGATTTTTGAAAACTTTGAAATGTCATCACTTTTTCTATTATATCTACTATGAACAAAAATTGAAATTTTGAAGATTTGATATAGAGAGTTTAAGGGAAAATGTCCTTTCACAAATCCACTAAAAATTTCCATTAACTTCTTTAAGCTGAGGAGAAGACATTAAAAACTTGCTTTTTTAAAAAATTTCAAATAATTTTCCAATTCTTCATTTTCTAACTTATTAACCCAAACCTTCTACAAAACACATTCAAATTTTTCAGAAATATTTTCCCAACTTATTTGAAATTTTAATGTCATTTGCCTCACAAACCGTTGACAATAAACCCTGGAAATTTCCAGGTTTCTGAATAAATGAAGGAGATCTTGCTTTTGCGAAAAATCGCAACTTTCAATTGTTCATTCAGTTAATACATTCTCGGCGGACAGTGAAAGTTGCTGAATAAGGCGTAGCCAAGGTCAGCAAATACCGAAGACCATTGTTCCTTTTATTTTGAGTCAGTGACGAGAGAAAACTGTTGATTAGTTGAGATTACTTATATTCATCCATAAGAAAAAGAAGAGAAGAAAGATTTTTTTTTTCACTTTCAATACAATAGTATCCAATTTCTATATATCCTGATCATTTTTCTTTATTTTTTGCCCAAAATGTTCAAGAGTAACAAAGATGGATTTTAAGTTTTTCCTATGCCTAATCCCTTTATCTACTTGGGCTTAACCCAGGATTAAAAGGGTGGCTCATTTAGGTCACGATACAAGCACATAATTCAGTGATAAACTTAGTAAGTAAATTCAAACCGATGCGTGGTTTTGCCCCCTCATTTATAACTTGAAAAATGAAATTTTTTTATCCTCGAATACGAACAAATAATAAATAAAATTCCCCTGATTCAAATCTTCAAATAAATTTAAACTTTCTCCAAAGCCGTTTTCGGTGTTCGTGGGGTAATCGCAGGGCGACTGGAGAGTGAGTATCATCCGGATATAGAAAACAGGATTTAGGTAAAACGTATGGATATCCCCTCTTATACTTCGCCCATTATTGGCTATTTATTAGGGCTTTGTCCCGCGATATATTTGCAAAGTTTAAATTGGTTTCGATAACCTACTTTTAATGTAATATGTAATATTTTTCAAATGAAAAAAAGCTACAATAATTTTATTTATCTCCGCTTTTATCTAGAAACTTCTCTCTGGAATATTAGAGCTTTTATTGTAATTTATACCATACGCCGTGCCAGGAAAATTTGCTCTTTTGAATGCAATATACGTTGCAATCCTTTTTCGTAATTTTGAATTTTTAGGTTTTATTTGGACTTGAAAAAAAAAAAACACACACACAAAAAGCGACTTTTTCAATTAATTAGGTAATTAATTAAGTACTTCTGCAAAGATAAAACGGTGGAAACAAACAAAAAGCTTTATGCCGAATTTAGACCCAAGGTTGGATTTTATCAACGTTAATATTATTAAAAGAGGCTTTTTGTATAAATTGAAGCCAATAAATTTGCAAAGCATGATATTTGATGCCCATGTTTGCATAAAAATTCAAGTTGCGAATATTTTTAAAAACTCTTGCCCTAAATCGCTGCATAAAATCTAATTAAGCTCGTAAAAATTTTGCAATACTAGTTGGAGTTATTACCCGAAATGCTCGAGGCACTACTTACTAAGCCTTGCGCTAAAACCTCCAAATATTTGAGATGGGGATTAAATGGGGGGCCAGGCGGAATTATTCGAGACTTTAAGCTAGCCGACCGCAAATTCGTCCATTACGCTTAGCCGCTTAACCGATTTCAGTGCTGCAGCCCCCCAATTAGTCTAAATAAGCAGTTTTGTTTCGATTGCTTGTCGGTTTTAGATAAGGGAATAATAATTTCGTTTTCGGTGCGAAAATTGATTCTGATTTCATGAAGGATAAAGTATGAGCATATAAATTCTCTGGAGTATTTTGAAAATTGGCCATTGGTATTCATAAGATAGTCTGATTCTATTCCATAAATATTTGATTGAGATATCAAAGGGTTTGAATTTTCCAATACTTTTAGAAACTCCGAGGTAGTTTTTGATAACCATTTGAGACTTTAACTTCAGGGCATTATTTTTTAATTATTCCCGGCTCTTGATCCAAATCAAATGCGGGGAATCCAATTATTTGATTATTCAACGTAGCAACTCTTTGAAATGTTGCTCCTAAATATAAACCCACTATTTTCTTTTGAATGTTTCATTGATTTATACCAAAAGAAAGTCACAGAATGGTGTTAGAATTGATTTGATTGGCTAATTAGTGTCAATTTTTCTATTATTCTCGGCTTTTGATCCGGATCAAATACCAGGGACTTTAATTCTACTATTAATAGAAAAAATTTGTTGGACTATCTGCATTGGGCGCTTTAAGTGGAAGAGCTGCTGGGATAGGTAATTTTTTAAAGGTTTTTTTGGTTGGAATTTTATGCTTTTTACAGTCACAGCAAATATTGGAAAACGTTTAATTTTTAATGTTTATAAATAGGTCATAAGACCTATGCTAACGTATGGGACCCCTGTCTGAAACATAATCTCCAGAACTCAGCGAAACCGCCTGCAACGTTTTCAGAACCGCATCTTGAGGGGACTGCTGTCGGAATCTAGGTACGCTAGAATAAGAGACACATACGCAAACATGCATTCCTTATATCTCTATCAGCGAAAAATTCTATAGGCACCAACTTCAAGGCTCCCCTCTAACACGCAGAATGACTGCAACGAGATATGATCCAGTCAACCCCATAGTTCACGGTCTACCATACAAAAATTTACCAATCTATTTTGAACTCCCATAAACACCTCCCCATCCCAATCCTGCTATTCATACACCTAAACAAAAACCCTCTCCAATACACAGCTAAAATCTTAACGTCAAGACAAAATTAGCACGTTCGCGGACAGTAGTTCACGGCGAAAAAACCAATTTACCACACCAAACATTATGGAAATATAAAAATTGACATTCTAAGCACAACAAACTTTTAGAAATTTTCCGCGAACCTGTTAGACAAGAAAGTTTGGCGCTGGCGCCAATACCCTTAGTATGAAGCAGGAAACTCTGGCAATCACATCAAGGTCTAATTTCTACCCTTAGTTCTTCGGAAAATTCCTACTAGTCAGCGATTTAGTGTGTGACAAACTCCTATCTTGCTGACTATGAGAAAACCACTCTTGTCTAATTGAACATCAGATACCCCAATCTAACCAACAAACATGTAGGCACAAATTGCCCAGTTTAGCTGAAAAATGCATGTCCCATTCCCGGTAAATTCTTGCACCCAATCCTGCTAACCATCAGTCTCTGACATCCCTTACAAACATAGGCGCCGAAACCATGGGGGTAATGGGGGCAAAGCCCCCATAGTGATTTTGGCATTGTATATAGTGGGTGTAGTGAGTAGGTACAAAAATATTGAGTTCCTGATCCTAACACTCCTAACTAATTATTTTAATATCAAACTTGTGTGTTTTATGTTTTTGTTGCTTTTGCTATACCGACTTTGATAAACAGTTTGAATATTTTTTTTGTTTAGTGTAGTATAGTAAATTTTAGGGCCCTTAATACAAAACGCTTAGATGACAGATACCTCTATTACCCAACATAACGGATCTCTTGAACAAGCTGGGACACTGCCAGTATTTCACCCCCTTAGATTTAGCTAGCGGTATCCACCCACCAGATCCAGATGCATTAAAACGACATCGAAAAAACCGCATTCAGCACAGAAAATGAGCATCATGAATTCTTGCGCATGCCCTTTGGTTTGATGAACGCGCCGGCTACATTCCAAAGACTTATGGATGATATTCAATATCACAATATATTGAGCAAGTTCAATACCCAAAGATTGGACATCTCATCAATAATAGTTATTCATTATACAAGGTAAAAGAAGTATTAGATTTTAGAGCGAAATGTGGTTTGGCTTGAGATAACAACAAGGTGGCGAAAGAGCGCTGGGAATGCTAGAGGTGGAACAGGGGAAATCATCATTTTTCCTTCTCTATTCAACCTTAGGTCACGCGCAATCCTGTAGTTACAAAAATACGCGCTGTGGTGCGTCACCTCACACGCGCTATACTTGTCTCAATTTGCGTCCACAGCCGTTTGAACACCTGTCGCTGTCATTCGTTCGACGACTTTGAATTTAGTTCACTTCAGTACGTTCAATACAGACTTAAGCCCGGTCCAGACACTAGGTTCGGCTTACTGATCACAACGTTTTTTCTGTAACGTGTTGAAACGTAGCGTCTGCATCTTGGTTTTAGATGTTTCGTCGAGCTTTACTTATTTATAATTAAGTTTACGCATGTAAATAACTGAGCGTTGGCTATCAATAGACTCTAGACACTTTAAGCAAACCCTAAATTTTTCTGAGTATCTGTATCCGAATCCGTAAACGCATCGACTGACGTTGACCGCCTAAAACTGCGTTTAAGCATGGCCATACATTACGTAAACGATCGTATCCTTGGATGAAACGTTTTCCAACCACAAGATGTGTTTTGTTGATTTTGTAGCTGTGTTTGTAGGTTTTCTTTTTATCTATAAGTACAGTGTTTATGTTGTTAAAGTTACTTTAGTGATAACTGACAGGAAGATCTCTCAATAGTGTCAAAATATTATTGAGATAAGGATACGAGGCTAGGCCCGTAACGATACGGACAACGCAACGCAACGAGACCACCGTATCTATTATCTATTATGCGCATGCGTATCTATTATGCGCATGCGCAGATCGTATCTCAGCCATTCGACACTATTAAGGGATCCTCCTGTCAGTTGTCATTAAAATAACTTTGACAATATAAACACAGTTCCTACAGATAATAAGAAAACCTACAAACATATTTAAAAACTCAACACTTATACTTTTTGAGGTTAGGAAACGTTTCATCCTTTTCGAATGATTTTAGGGTTTTTTGCAGGTACCTTGTATTTGTCATTGTGTCTTCAGCCTTAGGGTTTTTTTGAGTGACAGGTCTTTTGACGTTTCCTTTTTACCTGGTTGTCGTCAGTTACATCCACTAAACTTTACCTAACGTACGGAAAATTATAATTAACGTACGAAACTGAGAAGGCGTGTGTTTACAATGAAGTTAATTATCTTACGTGACGTATGCATGCGTGCTTATAACTTGAACTGTCAAGTCAAATTATATGCACAGAAACAGAAATTAATGCACGGATTTTCTTAAGTTGTACCAACTTTTCCGTGTTCCCATTAATTTTCTTAATTTTCAAGTGGATGTAAACAACTACAAATATTACAATACATGATCTTTTTTTTATTATTAATTTTTCGTACGTTGTGTTCAGTTAAGTGGTTGTAAATGACCCTTTAGCGCTAAATATATTTGTCATTTTGCCACATGCGGACGCCTGCGAATTCGTCAGGTTACATCCTATATAGTAAAGGTACGGTTTGTTAGGATAGTACGCGACGCACAACTGACAACGTAAACATCGTCATTGGTTTAAGTATGACGTACACCTGTTTTCTGACGCTGACGCTGACGTTAGAAAACGGATGTACGTCATACCTGAACCAATGACGTTTACGTTGTAAGTTGTGCGTCGCGTACTATCCTAACAAACCGTACATATACCTAGTAGCCTGCCCCTAACTGTATACGTTTTTTCAATAAGTCGTTGGATTATTTCCTTTCCATTTGCATGATGTACCAATACATTGGCCTTTTCACCTAGTTTATCATGGAAAATGTATATACAGACAGGGCAAACCCACTAGACACATAGGCAATATTGAGTCGAATTGGCATTTGTCCCCTTACCCCAAAGGCATTTAAATTTTATTAATAATTCAAAATGGAAAATAATCAAATACATACTTTATAATTAAATTAACGTTCTACTATAAATTCTTATCAAATTTATTGAATAGCCGCATTTCCGCTTGCCCCCATCATTAGAAGTCCCAAAAATACCATGAAAAGATTCAAAAATTTAGCGGCTGCGGCGCTTTTCTTCCTGCAGCGCTTGCAGCGGAGCTGCCACTGCTGCAAGAATCGCTTCCTGCAAATTTGTCCCTTCCCCTTCCCAAGACAAAATCCTGAATACGCCCATGGTGCTGTCGAAGCCGAGCTGCCGAAGATGCACGAATTTTAATAATATGAAGGAACCTGCAGAGATGATCAACGATCCAGCGTGTCTAGTAGTTTAGTCCTGTCTGTTTAATTAATTCTACTTGTGTTAATTTTTCGATTCCAAGCCCCCATAGTAATTTTGAAATTCCGGCGCCTATGCTTACAAACCTCCCCACCTGCACCAAAACCATTACCTAGAGACTCATTAGGTCTCAGGATTGGTCAGGGTGCAGGACTGTCGAACCCATTCAATCCGTATATTGATGATTGATGATATTGATGAACAAGAACGATATAGAAAAAACCGCATTTATTACAGAAAATGGCCATTACGTATGCCTTTTGGACTGAAGAACGCCCCAGTCACTTTTCAAAGGACCATGGACAGTATATTATGAGGAATTCAGAACGAAAAATGTCTTGTACTGTATATCTCGACGACATCACTACAAAAACGACTGAAATAAGTTTTTCGAAGATTGCGTAGAAGTGGAAAAGTGAATTCCCCAGACGAGAAGCAGAATACGACCTAATCCAGATAAGTTAATTTTGTATGTACATGTATAGTTTGAGAGAGATCTATCTCCCCTGCATGTAAATAAAAACTAATGAATTTTTAAAATAAACATGTTTGAGTTTGAGTTTGAGTCGTTTTTAGGCGAACGGTCAACGGTTCGATTGCTCACACAGACACTGGACTTTTTTAAAATTTGAAGTAAGACATTTTAGGTCACTGCTAATTACTTCTCTGGCACAGGTGACGTGAGGACAAGTGAAGATGACAGGACTTTTTTTTAAGTTTTTTTTTAAAATGTGCGAGACATTTTAGGTGACAACTAATTACTTCTTCGGCACAGGTGAGGTGTGGACAAGTGAAGATGCTGTCGAGGAGTCCCAGAACCGCCTGTCGTCGAGTGTCCCAGTACCGCCTGTTCTCTACTACTTATGCCAATACAAAGCCACAAAATGGTGTCAGAATTGATTTGATTGGCTGATCAGTTTCAACTCACAAAGAAACAGTAAAATCAGTCATTTTCTGTTTTCGAAATTGTAACTTTTAGGGCCGATATCTAAGGGAAAAAATAATTCTTACTAGAACACAAAGCTGTGGAATGAAAAGTGCGTCATACCTTTATTGGCTATGAAAACAAATGTTTACAAATTTTATAAACAAGATATTTTGTATTGAATATTGTGTGCGAAAATGTTTTATATCCATTTTATACTATTGCTTACACGTAGCTACATTGTTTCAATTCAATAATAAATTTATCAGAAAAATTCTCGAATATAATTTTCTCTTAAATTCGAAAACGAATTCACTGACCAACGGGCATTTAAACACAACATTGTAAGTATGTTTAAGCGCATTATTCCGGGAAAAATTCGCAAACACGGTTTCGGAGCCGTTAGTTCGCGAAGCTTTAAGCTCGTTACATACGACTTTCGTCCCAGATTCTCCAGCTTATTTATTATTCACTGTCTGGGAGAGCGAATTTTCCAAGTACTTACGTCCGTATCATATTGTCGGGAAACTAGGAGAGTGTGTGTGTGAGGATGAGAACCGAAAATATAAAAAATTGTTTCAATGTTTAATTATTGTCTTCAGTTAGTTCAAATGTCTAATAATCTTTGCCAAAAAGAGTTTCTTCTGGAATGTTTCAGGATGTTTTGTACAGAGTTTAGAGTAAAATTTTAAACGAATTAGGATATTATTCGGAAAAGCAAGTTTTAAGCGTTTCCCTTCAACTTACACAGAAACAAATCAAAGTAGCTTTTAATGATTTCTAGTAATTATTGTACAGGGATTGAGGGAAACCTTTTCAAGAAGCTTGAGAGAGAATTTCAAAAGTTGGAATGTTTTGGAAAAGCAAGTTTTCAGTTTCTTTCCGTTAATTTATTCAAAAATCAATAAGAGTCTCTTCTGAAAAGTTTCAGGGTGTTTTGTACAGAGTTTGAGATGAATAGCAAGAAAGTTTCAAATAAATTAAGAAATTTATAATCAAAAAGTTGCTTTGTGAAATTCCCTTGAAAACTCTATTCCAATAAACAGTATATTATATCATGTTTGTACTGTAACAAAACGAGGACAATGACAAAATAGCAACAAAAGCCAGTGCGTTATACATGAATACAAAAAAAAAAATCCACAATGACGTCGCTCATTATGTATTATTGCGAAAACTCAACAATATTTCCACCTACCCGAAGAATTAAAAAATAAAATTTTACATGCTACAAACAAAAAATAATTGGAACGCAACATCCTGCCGCAAATAGAGACCACAGGAAATGGATATGGATTTTTGTTTTTGTATTAAAAACATGCACTCATTTGACACAAGAGTGAATATTCAAAGTGATTTTATGTTCAAAAGAACGTAAAAATATTAAAATTTTTACTTAAATAACATTCTTTCGACGGTGGTGCTCTGATTAAAAACTTCTTACAAGTTTAATAGAAAAATTCTACGAATTCTCCCAAGTCGTGTGGAAACATTTTGCTGCTTATAATAAAATTCGAGTTTCTATCAAACTAAAACGATGTTAACTAAGTAGGTATTTTTTTACAGAATTTTCCTCCATATTGAAGTCGTAAAATTTTAATCCGCGTTTCCTTATTGCATTCTCGGCATTATTGTATTTCATGCCTCGTATATTGTTGAAAATTTATCACCACCCTACACAAGACTTTACGACTTGCAAGCCAGAATCTTATGACAATATTTTCATTAAAATTTTATCAATTCTTACCGATCTCTATCACCTCCATAGCTATATCCTCTAGCGTAACTATTTCCTCCACTATATTCAGGTCTTGAGCCTCTACTTTCATAGCCTCGGCTATAGTAGTCGTCATAAGGGCTGTAGGCATCATAGCCTCTAAAATTTTAACTGAATAATTCAAAAATTACATTACAAAAAATATAATACCTGTCTCTACTATAAGGGCTGTAGTAATCGTAGCCTCTATTTTCATAGCCTCTATCATAATAACGATCTCTTGGCTCGTATCTGTCATAAGATGTTGATGAATATCTGGTTCTTCCTCTGGTATCTCTATCGTAATCGTCATATCTATCATTGTATCTATCGTATCTGTCATAAGGCTCGTATCTGCCTCTATACGGGTCTCTATCGTTGTAATTTTCACGGCCTCTATTGTATGACGGCCTCAAATATCCATTATCGCACGTGGTGCATCGTTTTCCTAAAGCTGTGCTAGTTTTGATGTCTCTATCATCTTCAGCATTATCTTCAGGTTTCAATGATCTATCTCCTTTATAGCTTTGCTCATAGTATTTACTACTATCTCTAGTTTTTCTGAATACGGTGTCATCTTTATTAACATCTCTAGCTACACGCACTAAAGCTAGTAAATCTTTGACTAGTGAATCATCTTCTGGGTTTGATTTAGAAATATTTTTACTATAAGCTAAATTGAATAATATTGTGATAAAAAGGAAAACATGAGCCTAAAAAGTTTAATTCATTTACTCGAAATATATACACACAAGAAAAAAAATCACTTACCTTAATACCTATCATGGTTGGGTGAGATCAAGAAAACACAATTGCAAAAAAACACCAGTCTGGTTCAAAGTCACAAATATAAATGACAAGAGTGCGGACGGACACGAAGAGTTCATGCCCAAAACGATGACGAAAATTAAATAATCAAAAAAAGTCATTGTTTGGAAATCATAAGTCCGTGTTTCCTCTTCGTACAGGTCAGAATCCGACCGACAGTAACCTTGATTATGGGAACTACATGTTCATGTAAAAACTAATTTAATGCATCGATAGATCGATGATAGTCAATGGGATATTTCTATTATTAAACTACTATTTTCCTAAATCGGAAACTACATGTTGTATATTACCTTTTGACTTAAATTTTTGAAAACTTTGAAATGTGTATGTTTATATCCAGAAAACATATTTGTTATTGTGTCGAATATTCAATAAACTATAAAATGTTCTCTCCATATTCGGCAAACAATTGCTATTAAATGTTTCACAGTCCCATCAAGCATGTTTAATTAGTTTGGCAGGACTGAACCAGTTTCCAAGTTTAATTATTAGTTATTTAGAGGCTAAAGTGCAAACCGTATACACTGACAACTGAGCAAGTTTAGACCCGGAACGGAGTTTCTCTCGCTGGTGCAATTTTGTTTGATGGTTGAAACGTAGGTTGACAAGATCCTGGAATTGCATTTTAATTGGGTCGATTTTATAAATTATGATTATTATTGTCAGGCTTCGTTTATGTCCTTGACGTGTGGGTCAATTTTTCGTTTATAATAAACAAAGGTTATTTTTGAATCGGACACCAAAAAGTGGTCCTGCGGAAATGTGTCATTTTTGTTTCTTAGAATATTATGTATAAATGGAACAATTATTTTGGAATTTAGTAGAGTTTAGACGACACATACATATACAGGTTACAAATGAAAGTTTGTGCTTGTACAGGGTGTTTTTTTAATATATTGACACCCCGCCTACAGCTTTTACCTTTATAGGTAGATGAAAGGTGTAAATACAAAAGTTGTACAGTATTGGCTAAATTTTTAGAATCCATGATCAGGAACAAAAATTGAATGTCAAAAATGTGAAATATTGCATGCTTTCAGCTTTTTCCAACCAATTAAGTAGGTACCTCAAATTTTACCTGCAGCATTCACCTGTACAGGTAGAATGGTTCACAAAATCAGTAGTAGGATAGTATTTCTACAATTTTTGGAGAAGAATATATTAGAGACTGCTCAATCAAATATAGACAAACTATATATTTTTGGAATCGGAGCATTGTGCTCTTCAAGAATATAGAATAAAATATAGGGCATCCCATTTGAAAAAAAAGTTAGAAGCATGCAAAATTTCACATTTCTGACATTCAAATTTTGTTTCTGACCATGGTTTCTAAAAATTCAACCAAAACTGTACAACTTTTGTATTTACACCTGTCTTCTACCTGTAAAGGTAAAGACTGTAGGTGCGGTGTTAATATATAAAAAAACACCCTGTACAAATAAGTGGATTATTGCGGAACTTATGGGTGGACCTCTGCGGGACGAGCGCAGCGAGTTCCGCAGCCATCTACTCACCAATATACTGTCGAACTGTTCAAGTAAGGCTTTCATCTAAATGTAGTTTTTGAACTAATGAGAAAAACTCATAACTGAGAGAATCAAGTTAGTATTGTACTTGAACAATATATTGGTGAATAGATGGCTGCGGAACTCGCTACGCTCGTCCCGCAGAGGACCACCCATAAGTTCCGCAATAATCCACTTATTTGTACTTGAATAACTTGTCACATTATGTTACTAGTTTGGTAAAGTAGCATTACTAATTACCGTTGAAGCGCAAATTGACAAAAAGTGGATAATCTTACAAATTCTGACTTTATATAATAAGTTATTGTTCAAGTACAAATAAGTGGATTGTTGCGGAACTTATAGGTGGACCTCTGCGGGACGAGCGTAGCGAGTTCCGCAGCCATCTACTCATCAATATACTGTTGAACTGTTCAAATAAGACACTCACCTAAAACGTGTAGTTTTTAAACTAATGAGAACAACTCACATTTGAGTGAGTTAGGTTAGTATCGTACTTCAACATATTGATGAATAGATGGCTGCGGAACTCGCTGCGCTCGTCCCGCAGAGGTCCACCCATAAGTTCCGCAACAATCCACTTGTTTGTATTTGAATAACTTGTCACATTATGTTACTAGTTTGGTAAAGTAGCATTACTGATTCCTGTTAAAAGACAAATTGACAAAAAGTGGATAATCTTACAAATTCTGACTTTATATAATAAGTTATTGTTCAAGTACAAATAAGTGGATTGTTGCGGAACTTATAGGTGGACCTCTGCGGGACGAGCGTAGCGAGTTCCGCAGCCATCTTCTCACCAATATACTGTTGAACTGTTCAAATAAGACACTCACCTGAAACGTGTAGTTTTTAAACTAATGAGAACAACTCACATTTGAGTGAGTTAGGTTAGTATCGTACTTCAACATATTGATGAATAGATGGCTGCGGAACTCGCTGCGCTCGTCCCGCAGAGGTCCACCCATAAGTTCCGCAACAATCCACTTGTTTGTATTTGAATAACTTGTCACATTATGTTACTAGTTTGGTAAAGTAGCATTACTAATTCCTGTTAAAAGACAAATTGACAAAAAGTGGATAATCTTATAAATTCTGACTTTATATAATAAGTTATTGTTCAAGTACAAATAAGTGGATTGTTGCAGAACTTATGGGTGGTCCTCTGCGGGACGAGCGTAGCGAGTTCCGCAGCCATCTACTCACCAATATACTGTTAAACTGTTCAAGTAAGACATTCATCTAAATGTAGTTTTTGAACTAATGAGAAAAACTCACAACTGAGAGAATCAAGTTAGTATTGTACTTGAACAACATATTGGTGAATAGATGGCTGCGGAACTCGCTGCGCTCGTCCCGCAGAGGTCCACCCATAAGTTCCGCAACAATCCACTTGTTTGTATTTGAATAACTTGTCACATTATGTGACTAGTTTGGTAAAGTAGCATTACTAATTCCTGTTAAAAGACAAATTGACAAAAAGTGGATAATCTTATAAATTCTGACTTTATATAATAAGTTATTGTTCAAGTACAAATAAGTGGATTGTAGCGGAACCTATGGGTGGACTTCTGCGGGACGAGCGCTGCGTCCTGCAGCCATCTACTCACCAATATACTGTTGAACTGTTTAAATAAGACAGTCACCTAAAACGTGTAGTTTTTAAACTAATGAGAATAATTGAAATTTGAGTGAGTCAGGTTAGTATCGTACTTAAACAACATATTGATGAATAGATGGCTGCTCTCAAAAAAATCTTCATGATAATATCAATGAACTGCTTTCATTAATTACATTTTCATTGATCCTAAGTACAGAAAACTGTGTATTATGATTTCATGAACAGCTATCATTAGAATAAAGAATGAAGCTTTAGTAAGTTATGAATAGTCATCTACATGAATCTATGTTGAATAGTGCATCGGTTACACGAACTAAGTCCATTGATATTATGAAATTAAAACCTGCTCTCTCACACCCTCTTCCGCGTAGATTTTTTAGTCTTCATCTAGAGGATCGCAGAAGAGTTTCGTTTTCTTCAGTGCACCCTTGCGCTTTCTCTCTCACTCTTGCTCTTTTTTATAAGATTCAATTATCTCTCTCACTGTTAAAAGAAAAGTGAAAAAACTATCCTTTATTTAGTTCACTCTCTTCCTGCATATAAAGGCTCAGTTAAAAGACTCAGTAAAAATACTCGCTAAATTCCCGAAGATTTTTATTGAAAAAGAATAAAGTCAACTGGCCAATTGTGAAGTTACTCGAATTTTTACCCTACACTAGTGAAATAAAAATGTGTTATAGCCTATAAATAAATAAAAGCCTACATTGAAAACTGTTTGAAGTGCATAGTTTATTCCCCTAAATATGATAAACAGGAAGGTCTTTCACATAATATTGACAAGGGCAACACTCCGTTTAATATTTTACATATAGACCATTTAAGACCACTGGAAAAATCTAAAGAATATCACAGACATGTTCTAATAGTAACTGATGCATTTACAAAATGTGTCAAATTATTTCCATGCAAATCCACAACTAGTCAAGAAACAATAAAACATCTTAGAAATTATTTTTCTATGTACAGTAGGCCACAAAGAATTATAGCAGCCGAGTTTAAAAGGTTTCTGGATAATCATGATGTTGAACTTATATTAATTATTGCCACCGATGTACCAAGAGTGAATGGTCATTGTGAAGTTATTAATAGATCTTTAACGCCTAGCTGCCTTCTTACTAAAACGATAAAATTTCAATTTTTTTTTGTTGAGATTTTGTATCCTAATGGTCAATTAACATCCCCCAAACTCCATACACTAAATTATTCTCAGATTTAAAGCCGAAATCTATGAATAAAGGCACTCTATTACCCCAAATTGCTTAACACGATTTTATCTCAGGAACTATAAGTGCAAATGAGCTGAAATTTTCAGAGATTTTAGTCCCTTTAGGCGGTTACACACGGACGTGGATGACTTGATACATATACGTGCATACATCAACGTGCAAACAACAACGTGCATGTCACTTTTGTACAGACGCTCGCACAAAACTGTCAGTCTTGCTACTCTTGCTACAGTATTCTAAGTGTGCATACAAAATTTCTAGCGATTCCAGAATTCATTTGAGTGTCATTCTACAGTTTGCACATTCAAAGATGCGACGGTATTTTGCATACACATTGATGTTTTTGTTTGCGCGGTCATGTATGTGCGTACATGTTTTCATACATCCACGTCCGTGTGTAACCGCCTTTTATTAGGCGGTTACACACGGACGTGGATGTCTGAAAACATGTACGCACATACATGAACACGCAAACAAAAACATCAATGTGTATGCAAAATACCGTCGCGTTTTTGAATGTGCAATTTTGTATGCACACTCGGAATACTGTAGCAAGAATACCAAGACAACAGTTTTGTGCGA